ACATGCAAAAATGTGTGGTCTCAAACACACACAAATAGAGTAAATACAGTGTGTCAAATTACGCCTCAGAATAGTCCACCAGTAAGGCACAGTGCCTCAGTTCGGGAAGATCGGTAAAATGACATAAACAAGGCCCGACATTTGGTCTCACTACATTTACATTTCATTTTATTATAACACAGAATGCTGATTTTCTAACTCAATACATCACATACTGTCCCAGCCACAGCAGTTGCCCATGTGCCGCCCAAGAGAAGGGGGCGCCCAGAGGCAGGATGGGACATTTGAGCTGGGAGTTTTGATCCAGGGAGATGTTCGAGCTGGTATTTACTTTCTTTTATATTCTCATGTGGTCTCAGTGATTCAGGTAGGTTCCACGGGCGTATACTAGTCTATGTGCTCTTCTTATACTTGCTTTTCTGCTAGTAAGACATTGAGGAAAGGTTAATTTCTGTCCTCTGAATTAGGACTGGGCGATATGGATCAAAAAATATATCTCGATATATTTTGCTATATCTCGATATACGATATATATCTCGATATAAGTTCAAGAAAAAATAACCCCCTAAAACTGAAAACTGCAAAAACAAATCTGCCAAATTCCACAAGGTTCTTTTTTTTTAATTGAAGTGTAAGAGGTCGGCAGTTCATATAGGAACATTTAAGATTACAAAAAACTCAAATTACATAAATAATAATTTAACTGTAAAATAAAAGAAATAATACGGTGGTAGTGACGAGTGAAGGAGACACGAGCGAACAAAATCAGGGAAGCGGCAGCGCGAAGGCGACGAGAGAGAAGGTAAACAAGCGAAGCGGCGAAATCAAAATTGAATATAAGCATTATGTCGATATATACGATATGTCAGAATTCATATCGAGTTTAAAAACTATCTCGATATACTTAAAATATCGATATATCGCCCACCCCTACTCTGAATGTGACTTTTTTTAGTATCGAAACCTGCTCAAATGAATATATAGTTTAGATTCTAGTTTTAGTATTGGTTAGTATCTGATTTTCGATACTTTTGACAACCCTAAAATGTAATAAAGGTGTTGACTAAGTTACTGTTGCAACCAATACAAGCACTATGATCTCACAGTGAGTAGCAGCTAATTGAGTAATATAAGTGACATATGATAGGGCTATATTTTTGATCTTTGCTACCAGTCAGCTGACAATTTCGCAGTAACATTTATGACGCAATAACTATTTATGATTATGTCACGGTTGTTATGTCATCAACATTCCTATATCAGCTCTGAGTGGTATTGCAATGTCTATTTATTTAGCTACTGAACTACTGAGTAATTGTTTTGTCATGTATTTGTAAAGCCTGTAGCTATAGTTTGCACTGTGGTAGATCATTGATTATTATTAACTCTTGCCCTATTGTACATTTTTGTCTTTTGTAAAATATCCCATTATTCACTACCACCTATTCACTTAATGGTATGGAAACGTCTACGCTTTAAAAGGTGCACTATGTAACTTTTTGGTTAGGGGTCCGTCACCTGCTTGTTTCACTGCTTGAAATGTTCCACAGTATGACATTAAACAGCTCTACCTTATATTTATTGAATTACAGGTGATTTTGTATAGCCTGATTCATTCATCTGACCTCGCAGAGTTAGAATTCGTTTGCTCAACAGTAGCCGGGTACTTTTTAAAATTTAACCAATCGCTGCTATTTGGTCGTGACGTTTGTAATGCGCCAAATCCCGTAGAAAGAAGAACAATAACCTCTTTCCCCTTGATAAAATTCAGCAAATATTTTCTTTGTTCCGGCTTTAAATCCTCGATCTCGGGAATCGTTCGCCAACACAGAATGTCTATCTTCATTTACATCCATCTCGACCGCTTTGTTTAATGTTGTGCTGTTCCACAAAAGGGACCCAGACAGACGCTTGAGTTTGACGTCATGGCTTCACAGCTCTTCGCTGATTGGCCGGTGCGCGGTCTACAACTTCTGGGGTTCTTGTAAACCATCTAGTGTATTTTGATTCCTGACCTAGTCACTAGAGAGAAATGAAATTGAGCAAAGGAACTAGGTAGTGCCAGCCTTGTGTAGCTCAAAAATACCTTGAAAACAGGCCTTGTGACCTGTAACTTGGTCTGGTTCGATCTTCATAAAGACAGAAAGTTTAATGCCATACTGTGAAACATTCCAGACAAAGCAATAACATCTCCATGGGGAAAAGCGTTTGATGGACCTTCCACTAGAAAAGTCACACAATGCAGCTTTAACTCTTAAGACCCACTTTAACTCTCTGGCTTTTAACACCACGAGTTGTGTGGTTTTCTGTGTCTTTTATTTATTTTATTTATTGTTAATGTATTTTATTGGCTTTATTTATTTATTTATTGCTATTCTATGATTTAGCTTTTATTTTATTTTACTGTTTTTATTATTTTAAGACTAGTATGTTTAAACCTGAGCATTTATTTTATTTATCATTGTTGTTATTGTTATGTATTTTGGAAACTGCACTTTGGAAACTGTTTGTGAAATGTGCTATAGAAAATAATATAAAGTGGATTGGATTGGAACTCTTGCCCTATTGTATATTATTATCTTTTATATCTTTTGTAAAATAGCCAATTACTTACTATACTCGTGTAACTGGGCTCACTATCTAAACTTTAAGCAAAGGACTGCTTAAAAAGTGCATTTGTGAACTTAATGACTAAATATATACAGTATACAGTATCTTTTTTAAAACAATCAACTAGAAAATACGGTTGCTTTCATTCAAAAGTAAAGTTGGCATAGCCTTTATCTTCTAACAGGCACAGCAGGTAAGGTTTTCCTGTCTATTTGCATGCATAAACATTCAAATACAGAGTGCATATCAGAGTTGCTCCCTGCCGAGTCTGTGGGTCATGTGACAAAAGCAACAACCTACCTGTGGTCGGCCAGACTAATGTGGCCCTCCGACACATCAAATGGCACAATCAACCAGTTCTGCTTTACATATTTAAAGGTACAATGCGCAACTTTGCTCGTGGAGGGTCCGTCACCTACTGAACTCTCAAAATTAATCTATTTAGAACAGCGTTTAATGTCTAACCTGCTTTTAAATGATGTTATATTTTCTCTCATTACCTTTGTTTAGGTCTTTCTTAAATTGTAGTCTTCGTACAGCGTCTTTGAGTGTTTAGAAAAGCGGTATATAAATAAAATACTATTATTACTTTCACTGGAATGTTCCATGGTATGACTTTAAACATTTCCATATAGCATTTAATCATTATGGGTGTTTATGTTGCTCAAAAATACAATAGTTTCTTCTGTGAACAGGGGCGACTCGCCACAGATCTGAACAGTAATTTAGTGTAGTGCTGTAACCTGCTCGTCTCCCTCGTGATATACAAGTTTTATCTATACCAGGGGTGAGCAAACTACGGCCCGGGGGCCATATGCGGCCCTTTAATCTTTTTAATCCGGCCTGCCAAACTTGAATAATAATAATAATATAATAATTTTCAGTGTTTTAAAAGTAATTTAAATAAATAGTAAATACCCTGGGACTTGAAAGACAGATATTTTATTGTAATACTTTGTAATGATTTCAGATTATGGGATATTTCAATAACATGGGATATTTTTTTCTCTTATGAGGTGGATTACCAAAAAACTCCATCCATCTGCTCCTGGTCCGGTCCTTCCATCAAATTTTAGAACCCTTTGTGGCCCATGAGTCAAAAAGTTTGCCCACCCCTGAACTATACTGTGGAACATTCTAGACAAAGAACTAACATTTCCATGGAGACATCAGGTGGCAGACCCTCCACTAGAAATGTTACGTGGTGCACCTTCAGCCAACCCACTATAACACTCTATGACAAAAGCCCACCCGTATGTCACCATGGAGATATTATTCCTATCAGGGCTGCTCCATTACGGAAAAAATCATTATCACGATTATTTTGGTCAATACTGAAATCACGATTATTCAAACTAAACAAATTATTTTTTGTTACATGATGCATTTATTCATAATTTCTCTCTTAAAAAACACTTTGTTATTGATCATTTATGTAAAACTTTCAAATTTAAAATAAATATAGGCTACAAATATGTTCCCTAGAGCAGTTTTACGATGTATAAAACATAAAATGAATCAGTGAAAAATCCCTCAGTCGTCCAGGTAGAATCCATGGCAAAGGAAAAATTCAATTCAGTTTGTTTGGTCGAATACTTTTTACAGCTCATCCAAGCTGCTTCTTCAGTTCTGAACTGAACTGCCATAAAATGAAATGAAAATATACTTTGAACATGAAATAAGGCATAGAAAATCATTAAATAAAAATAAATAAATAAAATAAAAAAAATAAAATGCACTTATTTATATAAAAAATATTCCAAAATAAACATTGTTAAGCTTAATCGATTATATGAGTCTGTAGATCGTTTGACACACAAATCAAAATTGAGATCAAAATTCAATTAATTGCACAGCCTTACATTCCTATATGTGAAATGTTCCTTATCATAGCATTAAACTTATTTATCTAACTGTTTTGATTGATTAAAAACATACCAAAACGTGCATTTTTTCTGTGAGTGGCGTCGCCTATCCACAGATCTGACCAGTAACTTGACCTGGTGGTGGCATCTCCTGTTTGTCTCAATGGATATACGTTTAATGCAATGCTGTGGAACATTCTAGATAAAGAAATAACATCTCCATGGAGACAAACAGGTGATAGACCCTAGAATAAAGTGACATTGTGCATCTTTAATTTATCAAACTACACGCAATTCAATCTTGGACGTAGTTTTGGCAAGTCAAGACAAGTCCACGTCGCTTTACGCAAATTTTAGATGAGTCACAGCAAAATTTAAAGCAAAAACAGGGAGAAATGTGTGCGTAAAAATAAACATAAACCGATTTTTACGACATTGACAGTGCGTAAGTTGGCACGCGAAGTATTTTCCCAACTTTTTCAGCGTAAAACAAACTTACGGAAGTGTCAGAACAAGAAAACTCACCTGTGCAGTCCGAAAAAGTGCACGATTCCCCGGCTACAGAGTAGGACAGCCGCCTGCTCCCTCTGCCCCGGGTCTCACTGCGCTCCGAGCCCGACCAGGAGCCATAGTCCCCGGTCTCCCCGTTCAGTGACCCCGCTGCCAACAAGCGCTCCGTCTCCATCCAAAACAACCCCCAAATTTAGTCTCGCCTCTCCAATCTGCGTCCAGCCAAGTTAGGAAAAGTTGAGCTGAGTGACACTACCGGTCAGCTGACGACTCTGGACCAATTCATAAACATTGGAAACAGCGCAACAAGATTTTTTAGCGCTGGTTTTAGGAAGTAGTGCGCGCTCCTCCTCCGCCAGTCCTGTCCCGCGGAGGAGTCACTTTACAGAGAAGTGCACTTAAAAAACAAGCTCCGCCCTACACCACTCTGTCACAGTGTGAAGTGTGAAGCGAAGTGAAGAGATAAGAGACAGTCAAATGAGAAATTACAAGAAGAAAATGTCCCACTTAGAAGTTTATATGTGTTTTATGTGAGTTAAGTGACCCAGTGTATTTAGGCCAAGTGTTATGAGGCAATAAGAGCCATAAAGAAAGCTTGCTTAACTAAAAATATGAACATAAAAGTAGTATAAAATCTAGAAGGTAAAGGCTCAGTCTGGAATTTTTGACATAGGACTTAATTTCCTTGTGAGCCAAAGTGTTGGAGATGTGTGGAGACACTTATTAAAAAAAATATTACATCCAGTTCTTGTATTTGCAGAGCTCACTGGTGCTAGGCTAGTGCATGTCAATGGCCATAGTTATCCTGTTGCTAAAAACAGTCTTACCCACTCCACAAAACACCCGAAACAAAACCATTATTACGCCAGATTATTGATGTAAATGTCTGTGTCTGTGTGTGTTCCTCCGCAGGGTGGCTGGGTGCTCCCTTAGAGATAGGGTGAGGAGCTCAGTCACACGGGAGGAGCTCGGAGTAGAGCCGCTGCTCCTCCACGTCGAGAGGAGCCAGTTGAGGTGGCTCGGGCATCTGTTCCCAATGCCTCTTGGGCGCCTCCCTCAGGAGGTGTTCCGGGCATGCCCCACTGGGAGGAGGCCCCGGGGAAGACCCAGGACACGCTGAAGGCACTATGTCTCTCGGCTGGCCTGGGAACGCCTCGGGGTCCCCCCGGAGGAGCTGGAGGACGTGTCTGGGGTGAAGGAAGTCTGGGAGTCCCTGCTTAGACTGCTGTCTCTGCGACCTGAAAATGGATGGATGTATGTCTGTGTCGATTGAATAATTTTAGAAGTCAAACCAACCTTGCATTTGAAGGATTTATGTCTGAGCAGCAGCAGCAAGAAAGCTTAGCAGCGGACTGATATATGAGAAAATACAAGCGATTCATGCGACACAAGGTTGGTTTTACTTCTAAAATTATTCTATCGACACAGACATTTACATCGACAGTCTGGTGTATTAATAGATTTGCTTTGGGTGTTTTGTGGAGTGGGCAAGACTGTTTTTAGTGGCAGGATAACTATGACCGTTGACATGCACTAGGTTGTTTAACACACAAACCCTGCATATTTGGGTGTGAAAATGAAACAGAAAACGCACATCAAAGTTCTTGTACAGGTGCAAATGCAAAGAAGCAGCAAAATAAAAGTGAAAAATGCATAGCACAGTCAGATGGCCGATGTTCAAAAGCTTTTTACTTTTATTTTTAAGTAACGTTTCAGCAAAAAAAAAAAAAAGCCTTCGTCAGATATTTTTGTTGCTTTGGACCATAGCAGACTCCACCTTGTGATGTCATGCGGTAATACAGGAAGTGCTCCACTGTGTTTTTAGATTCCTTACATCTTCACTAGAATCAATTGGATAATTTCAGATCAGAAATTGCAGATCTTTTCTGAATAAAAGGTAAATGTTGGTAACTGGTAACTTGAAAAGTACCACAGAGCATTTTGAGCTTTGAAGACATAGACCAGACATGTCAAACTCAGGCCCGGGGACCAAATTTGGCGCACAATATAATTATATTTTGCCTGCGAGATCATACCAAATATGTATTAGACCTGGCCCACTGGCTGCAGACAGGCTATAGCAGATAGCAAAACTATTATTAAACATTTATTTGAATAAGAAAAGGTTTAACATTACATATCTTAAACAAAGAGAATACATGCAGATGTTGTTGAATTTTTTCAATAAATATATAGTTTGGTCCATGACTTACTCCCAGTTTTAAATTTTGGTCCTCTGTGAATTTGAGTTTGACACCCCTGATGTAGACAGACTAATTATAAAGAGTTCCTCAAACATGTGTGACTGAAACAAAACACAACTCCAAATATGTTTTTGTAGAGTTAACCACATTATAACATGCCTTAAAGCTCACAAGACTCGATTTTGTGTAATATAGAATCTCTAAATTTGAAGATATGATTTTATTTACCATGTCTTTATTTCAACATTAACCATTAATCATCCTGTTTTAGTAACTTAGACAGCGGAATATCTTTTGAGGAGTTACTCGGTCTGCGTATGAGAATTGCAGCTACTGTATATAATTCAAAAATCATTCACAAGGTTTCAACATTCACATAATCCCCTTGACTCTGAATGTAATACGTAAAAGTGTGTAAAAATATTCCATCAAGATTGTACCTATAAGGACCTTCTTTGTAACTCTCTTCACCACTGTCACATGTTATATTTCACACATTTTACTCACATTTCTACAAATAAAAAGTGTATCCAAGAACATGGCACGGAAAGACTGGCATTCAGGGATTTATGTAGGTCATTTTATCAACTTTCTGACCATGTACACTGATTTATTCTTCAGAGAAACTCATAAACTTGACCTATCCATGTCCCTAGATAAGAGATAGACATGTCCAAATCAAATATAGCTTCTTAATACACAGTTTCAAGGCTCAAATCCAGTTGGTTTAAACCTAAAAGGACTGGCACTGATCTGAATGGTCTCTACCTAAACTGCAGCACTTGCAGTCAGTCTTGAATCAGTGCTAGTGCGGCCTCTGCAGCTTACAGTAGTCAGTGAATTCTGGAGGTTCTGAGCTTTTACATGAGGCAACACCTGTCTAAATACGGTGAATGAAAAACATATGTGTGTACCCTAAATGCAAGTTCAAGTGTGTATGAAAGGTAGGGATGTGCAAAAATGTCGAAATATCAACATATCCTATCGCCAAATGTGACGATACAGTATCGATATCGTGGGCTGCTGTATCAATATCTTGCCAAGAGTATTTTTTGGTATATTTTACTGCATTATTTTGTTACAGTGCTACAGTTTAGTTGCTTGTTTAGGAAATTCATTGTGACACATCTGATATTTTCACTGTTTTGATGATTAAAATGTTTGTGTTTCATATGAACTTCACACAAGAAGGGGTTCAACAAAGACTTTTAGTATCACAGCCGTGATTTAGCCTTTATTTTTATATTGAAATACATCGTATCAAATCGAAAGTGCACTGTATCGAGGTATGTATCATATCGTGGCCTATGAATTGAGCTATGTATTGTATCAGCAACTTTTTAATAATACTCAGCTTTTGATAATTCTCTAATTTCTACTTAATCTGGTGCTATAATACCAGGTGTAAATATAAATTATAGTTTGACAGCAACTGAGAAACCGTTTGTGAAAAAAATGTTGAAAAATATGTTGATAATTATAAGTACAGCTTGAGAGACTCACATTGATGACATTACACTGGGGATAATTCTATAAAAAGAATGTACAATTTATTCTTACAAACACATTTTTTTTGATACTTTAAACATGATTTCAACAAAATAAAGGTGTTTCTTGTCATTTTAATTGTCAAATAATAATCTCTGTGTACATAAGCGGAGTTATGGCCCAGAGTACATCATGGGTGCTATGTAAGAGTTATGGAATTCCCCCGTTTATCTTCCTGGTTGGAATTCTCTGATTTCTAAAGAAGAAGTAAAATTTGAAACTTAAAAAATGGCCAGACTGGGAAAGAAAGAGTAAAATGTTTTGTAAAATCTTAAATACAATGATCTTTACTGCGCTTTGGTAAAATGTGGAGTCTAACCTGCCACTTTAAGGCAACACAGGCTCAGTTGTAGTGTCGTAGTACTCGAGATGGACTCACGTGCATTTGGACTCGGTCTGGTCTCGGTCTTGAAGGCGCTTCGTCTCGGTCTTGTCTCGGACTCGAGGTCTGACACTTGATGAGTGCAATCATATTTCATATTTATAGCTGGTAAATGTGCAGAAGCTGATAAAGATCATTGCAAAACCAGTAAGATAATGTAACTGTAAATGTTATGAACTTGAAATTCACTTTGACGTTGTTTTCTGTAAAGTGTCAGTGGAAGTGGGATTAAAGAAGTGATTCTCAAACTGTCGGTCAGAGTCCAAAAAAGGGGCACAGAGTGTTTAAGTGCAGTTGCTTGGTCTATTTTAAGCTTAAATTAACATTAATCAGGTCAAATGGAGATAGATTTATAAAAACATTAATATATATGCGCCAAAAGAACTGTAAAATACAAATACATAAAGGAAATGACAAAGCTGGTCTCGATTTGATCTTAATGGGCCGTCGTTTCGGTCTTGTCTCGGTCTCAACCTTTAAAAGTCTTGGTCTTGTCTCGGTCTTGACTTTGAGAGGTCTTGGTCCTGGTCTTGAACTGGTCTTGGTCTCATTTAGTGCGGTTTTGACTACAACACAGCTCAGTTTGACTATAGAAATACGTTGTTTTATTAAAAAGTAAGAGCATAAATCTACGTTCTGTCCCTTTAACTAACTCTGTTCCCCACTGTGGAAGCAACAGCGGATAAGAAATGTTCTGATAAGATAAAATTTCTTATCTAAATTATTGTTGTCTTATCTCAACATTGGTAAGAAAGTGTGAAAAAAAGAAGATATCTAGTCTTATATGTGAAGAAATGTGTACAAGAAAAGATATGCATTTGAGTCTGATTTATTTTTTGCAGCTTATAAACAAACACAAACTCAAGGTCCCTGATAAAATGATCAAGTACATTGTATTATTGTAATTTTCTGGCATCTTTTGATTGTTACAATGAAAAAAGGTAGAGAAACGTGTGTACACAATTAAAAATAACACACAGAACCCAAATAAAGCAGACTGGAAGATGTACTGTGTAAATACAAACATTTGACCCATTTTCTTACCAACAGAGAAAGTTTAATTTTAGGTCATTGTATGGAAATGCCTCACTGAACTGAACAATATATGAAAGGAAGTACTATCTATTTCACATTTAAATATGCACTATGAAACTGTTACTGTTGTTTTCATGGAGATGTTATAGCTTTGTCTTTCATGTTCCACACTAGAGCATTAAATGTGTCCATCTCCAAGGAAACAGGCAAGTTACAAAAGAGAGATCTGACTTTTAACGTGAATGTTTTAACAATAACAATGCATGTAATTGGATTAAAAAAAAAAAAAAGATAAGTTTAAAGCTGTGGAGCATTCAAGGCAAAGCAATGACGTCTCCATAGTGACAAGCAGATGGCAGAATCGCACCAGAAAAGTTACACAGTGCACCTTTAAGAGTTTTACTATTATCTGTCAGTGTTATTATCCCAGTATAATTCACATTTTAGTAGTATAGTAAGTAGTTGCTCATGTATATTGAATTTTATACGATACATATTATTTAGATACTTTATGAAAGCATTAAACGAATAGCGGCTCCAAATTCTTTAACGCGCTTATCCCACGGCTTAAGACGTACGTTAAAACTGCATAAAGCACAGTTCCAAGTTGTATAATGTGCTTGTACCACGGCTACAAACTGAAATGACTAACTTAGAAATGTGAAAAGCTTGTTCCCTGTCTGTAAATTTCCAAAATATCAGTTATTTCAATGTTTTAAATAATTCTTGTTACTACATTGCAAATTTCTCTGATCTGGCTGAGATTTTAAAACATATATCAGGTTATTCATCTTGTTTCCAGATGCATTATCTACTTAATAGCTCTGGGAGTGTTTAATTCTAGTCTAGAGGTAGTTTATTTTAATTATCTTGCAGCATGGACAGATAATTTCACAACTTTTAAGTAATTTTCTGATAGATTTAAGTGTTTATATCGTAAATTTTGGCTAAGCATTTTTGCAGTGCACGTTCCACCCACAGCGGTTGAGCATGGGTTTACCCGTTGCTATGGTGATGTCATGGCGAGGGCCGCAGAGCAGTGATACAGAACAGTGATTTGGCTGTTGCCGGAACTACTTGTGCATTATGCAGTATAAGCTCTAGTCACTCTTACGTCACAAACCAGGAAAGACGTTTGGAAACATGCGATGACGACTAAATGTGATCAGAGGTAAAATGGCGCCTCATCCCTTCTAATCGCTTGTACCCAGTGTGCTCGGAGTTGTGTGTCAGTGAGGAAATGATGAAAACTGAAGTACGGTTGTAATTGTTGATTTGCCGAACATAACGAAACTCCACAATGACATGTAGATGAAGAAAACTGGGACATTTTAAACTTTTTTTAGATTCTGTCAGACTTACTACTGGGAACAGAGCCCACTGAAAGTTGTCATCACATCTTTCCAAACATCTTCCTGGTTTGTGACATAAGCGTGAATAGAGCTCATTAACGCACAGCAGTTAGACTTGGGAATTCCCGCTGACAGAGGTATAAGCGATTTTATCTCACGCTGCAGAGTCGTAGAACACCACGACACACAGCAGAGTTTGTGGATTTCTGCAGGCTCAATGAGCAAAGCCCTAAACTCTGTTAATCTGAAGAACAGGAATTTTGATTTTATCTGTAAATCGTAGGTAACCAATGAATAATAAATAATAAATCTGATAGTTTCACGGTCATGTTTGGTTCTGACTCAAGACGCTCTTGGAGATGGAGGGAGTGGAGACCAGACTGAAACCAATCTGTATAAAAGATGCAGAGAGATATGCCAGGCGAGCTGCTCTCTACTTTACAGGTAAAAGACTGAACATCTTGTACACAGCTCCAGGAAGTAGAAACACACATGCCATTTGTCACATGTGAACGGTTTTCCTGCTCTGAGGGTTTCACATTCAAGACAAACCACATTCCCCCAACAGTTACAGCTACTCACCTACAGACATCGGTCCTTTTGTATTTAGAGGTAAAATACTGTATGTTACTGGCATTGTAATTTTAAAATAAAGGCTTTAATGCAGGTCACTGACTTTGGTTCATTCATCGTGCTTCTTTGGAGAGATCTGAGACACCTGTTGAGAGAAAAAGCAAAATAAACTTACTATAAATATATTTAAAATGTATATAATCACTTTGTACTAAGGATGTAACGATATCCAAATCTCACAGTACAATATTTAATGTGATATTTTGGAGAGGCTGATATAATTGTAGATAGGGGACACTTCTTTTGCTTCTTTGGTGTGAATTATTTCCATCCTAATCCCAAGAATTCAAGTAAAAAACACGTTTCTTCATATTGTCTGCACTGAAATGAATCATGGGATATGTAGTTCTATGTAGCTCTATGTTTATAAGATGTTGCAACTATAAAACCATGCATTTATTTGATATATTGTGACAGCCGACGATATTATTGTGAGACTTTTGACGATACGATATCACGATATTTCGGTTATTGTTACATCCCTACTTTAACTGTAGGGATGTAACAATAACCCTACAATAACAATAACTACTGTAACTTTACTACATTATTTTTCATATAATTTATCTCTTGTGACCATGTGTACTAGTATTTGTAGAAGTAATTTGCATTAAAGGGCTCATATTACGCTATTTTCTGGTCTATGTTACAACGTCGTTTCCTCATCAAAAACAAACAGTTGTTTTGTTTCATTCACACATGTTCAACACACAAACCCTCCATGTTTAGGATGTGTTCTTCTCTCAGACAAGGAAGGTAAAAGGAGCTGTTAACTTGAAAACTATCGCTTCATGACATCACATGGTGGAACAGAGTATCTGAGCTTTGGAGATATAGACAGATAAATAATAAAGGGTTGTTCAAACATGTGTGAGTGAAACAAAACACAACTCTAGGTGTACAATCCTCTCCACTCAATGTAAAGTCAGCCTCTTAAAAGTCAAGGTAATTGAGGCAGTCCCTTCAAACATCAGAGACTCCGTCAACCGTCTAGAAAAAAAAACCTTCTGGATCGTAAGCTTAAAGATCACACGACATCCGGACCTTAATTACGTTTTGGACTATTCAGTGTTCCTCTGAAACTTTATTTTTTTGGCAATTCTTTAATGTAGGTCATGTTTTTGACCTGTGGTATCTAATTGTATTTTAATTATTGCATATGTGATGGACACATCTACTTATCTCCAGCATGTCCTGTTTATCTTGTTGCTGTTGGGTGGGTCTGCTCATCACCTATATATTCCTCATGGTTGGATAATCTTTTTTGTTTTGTTTGTTGTCTCTTTTTCCTATAGTCATGCGATGTGGTCATGTGATTGATAATTAATTGTATTTTTTTTTCAAATTAACTTTTTATTGAAAAAGCAGATTACATTTTGCAGTGTGTAAAATTAAATCACATGTTCCTGCTCTTACAAACATATACAAACTCAGAACAGGTTGGGGAGCCAGGGAACCTTTTTCACAATTTAACAGAATATTGCAACTGTGAGGTAGTGTTATATGAAGTCTGATCTCACTGGCTTTACATATTCTGTCCACCTAGTCCACATCTTGTAAAAAGAGTCCAGCTGCACTTTCAGTAAAAATGAAATCTTTTCCATCATGTAGATCTCTTGCACAATGTCAATCCAGTTCTCAATTGTTGGTTGCTCAGGTTTAAGCCATTTCCTTGTTATTGCCTGTTTACTTGCTGCCAGTAGAATATAGAGTAATCTCTTATTTGTGTTGCTAAAGCCGTCTAACACTAATTACCAAGGTACAAAGTTATAAATGACAGGGGGAAAACACATGAAAAAACACCCTGCAGATGTTGATGAATCTCTGACCAGTATTCTTGGATGACCCCACATTCCCAAAAAATATGGAAGTGATTAGCCCCATCATTCCCACATCTCCAGCAGGCATCACCTATTCCTTGGTGTCTCTTTTGTACTGGTGTAATGAAAAATCTCATTAGGTTTTTCCAACAAAATTCACGCCATGTATTTGACCCTGTTGAGATCCACTGGATTTGACATATGTGCTCCCAATCATCTTCTGTCATTGTAAACTTTCCCTCTCTTTCCCACTTTTCTTTGATATAATATGTGCTCCCCTCCTTACCCAACAGGATGCCATTATACAATTTCGAAACTTTTTGTGGGAGATGATGATAATAATTAATTGTATTTAATGGCATCCTGTTCTACCATTATGCCTTGATGAAGACCATCTTGCTGGTCAAAACACGTTGGCGTCTCTCCATGTAATAAAGAACTTTTAATATATTCAGTCGGAGTGCCTCGGGTTTGTACCCTGCCCAGTTTTACATTTTTCAGTAAGAGTAACTTTCTGTTTAGATTACAAGTTTAACCCTCATAGAGCACCTGTACGGTTATTGTTAACTTTTTTATGACCCAGTGAACGCTCTACCTCTTTTCTTCGTTTGTTTTCGAGGAGGTAACAACAATATAACATGGCTTAAAGATCACAAGGGTCAATTTTGTGTTTGTAAGACTCTTAAATATTCAAGGGATCAAGGGAAATGGCGAAATATAATTCTTCAGTGTGAAAAATTACATTCATTTTTCAATTTCATGTTTCATTTCTTCAAAAAGTGTACCGTGTCGTCCAATCTCTGTGCATTTTGTGGTTACTGAACGTTTTGTGTGGGTAATAAGATTGAGGTCATACTGCAGAGTGCGTCAGTGGCAAGGAGGGCATTGTTGTTATGTAGGAAGTGTTAAAGCCACAGTGTGTAACTTCTTAGTCAATAAATAGACTAAAGTAAAAGCATATATATATATATTTTATTTTTGTTGTTTTTATTGCACTGAAAAACACGTATCCTACTGTGAGCGGGCTTGCGTCTCCACAAACCTGATTCTTATTTGGCCTTTCTACTTCCTTGACAACAAGATCTCTTAAATATAATCATGTAAACTGATTTTTAGTGCAATGAGTAGCCTGTCCTGTCATATTCACGTTAAATTTCTCTTCTCTGGTACCTGGTTGTCGATGGCTCTGAACTGCCAGCTCCAGCGGGTGTTGTAGAGAAACTGGCGCAGGTCGAAGCGGTTATCGTCGGGGCTGTAGACCTCGGCGTGGTACGAGGGAGTCACTGTGGTCATTTTGTGGCGATTTATGGAGTACATCCTGAAGAAACGCTTCACCTTCTCCGCCACCTGGACAAGTAAATAAATAAATATGCTGAAAATAAAGGTAATATCTGGGGAAAGTGTAATGTATTCACCGTTCCACTCTTTTTCACTGACAAAATTTAAAAACTTTTCCTAAACTTGACCTAAAGTGAATTTTCCATGACTTTACAGTACCTACATGCCTTTCCACTCACCTTATGGTTTGGTATTATAGTTTTTTAACATTCAAAATCCTGTCAGTGCATTTATTGTCGTCTATTTGAAACAAAAGGCGCAAACATTTGGAAATAATCATAATAGGCTAATGAGAACTTAACAAAATGCTGTAGTTGTGTGAAAGAGATGCTAAAATTCCAAGACTTTCCAGGCCTGTAAAATGACATTTTTAATTTCCATGACTTTTCCAGGATTTCCATGACTGTGGGAACCCTGCATATTACATTTATATAGAAATAATGTAACTTAGGATGAATTAACACTGATGATAAAAATGTCAAACAATAATGAAACAGTAAAGTCTACATGTTTATTATGTGAGTCTGAGAGTCAGTGAAGATCTTATTAAATTAAAGATGTATTTTTTCAGGTACTTTTCGAGTAGAGGGTCTATTCACGCTTACGTCACAAACTAGGAAGACGTTTGGAAACATGCAATGACAACTTCTGGCGGGCTCTGCTCACTCTGTTAAGTCTAACAAAATCTAAGAAAAATTTAGAAAATGGGCCAGTTTTTTTCATCTACATGTTGTTATGTTGAGCTAATCAACAATTACAACCATACATCAGTTTTCATCATTTCCCCACTGACACACAACTCCGAGAGCACTGGGTACATGTGATTAGAAGAGACGAGGCGCCAAATCCAAGATGATTCCAAACAGAACAAACGTCTGCAGTCTTCATTTTACCGCTGATCACATTTAAAACTTCAGTGGGTTTTATCACAGTCGGTCGATGAGCCCAGTGTCGAGAACTTCACCGGAAGTCGTCCCTGCATGTTTCCAAACCTCTTCCTGGTTTGTGACGAAAGCGTGAATAGAGCCTATCACGGTACTTTGTCTGAAATGTTTCCCAGTGTGGCATTAAATGTTTCCAATCTACCATTCATCCAGTTATGGGTGGGTTTTTTTTTGCTCAAAGAACCTGCACGTCTACAGTCAGTGGGAAATCCTTTGCAAAGATCTGACCCGTATCTTGGTCTGGTCTTGGTCTTGCATCTCCCTGCTTGTTTTTTATGGAAATAGTTAAGTTTAGTATCATAGTGCGACACATTTCAAACAAGTCATAAAGACAAAAACGTAGGCGAACCCTCCACAAGAAAACACCTTTAAATGAAACTGTGACTTTACAAACCATTCAAAACAAAACAATACCATTCACAAATTGTTGAACCTTAGTAAAAAAAATAAAAAATAAATAAAAAACACACTTCACTGACCTCTGCTGGTGAGAGCGTGTCCCTCCACAGGTGAATAAGTTTACAAAACATACTGAAAGGACCACACTTTGAAATCTTCCGCAGTCGACCGATCACAGACAGCTCAGAGTACGTCATCCCCATGTCCGCCTACGGAAATAAAGAAAATCAAAGGACTTTTTAACTCATATCTACTATTATTTATAATTCTCAGAGCTGTTTGATATTGTCTTTTACTGTATGTGTTGGTTGAGCTGTTGTCATTTTGAGCAGAATGTAAATGAGAGTCTGAGATAATCTAAGGTTTAAAACTTCCGCAGAAATTTTACCTCGTCGGTTTGAGACACTTGTCCGTCTTTCAGTGGCTCTAGTTCGGCAGTAGGGGGCGCTGCCAGGATGCTGTGGAGAAGGATGATTTATTAAAAAAACTAAAAATTTTAGTTACCCCTTTGGTTTTTAATGGATATTGAAACTGTGGTGAAGAGTGGGGAGTGACATTCAGACAATAGACTGTGCCAAGTATCCAATGATCCAATTTTTTTTTATATAAATTGGTGTTGTTATGTTAATCTGAATTAACTTTGAATAAAATCCTGCGTATTTACAAGTACTGGTACATGTTTTTCCTTTGAATTATCTTGTCTTTTAATATGCATTGTCCGTTTAATAAATAAATACAAATACAAATAGATGATACAGTAAATATAAGGGGATTAGTACATTTTGGCAATTCACTGCACTTTCTGAAATGTATTAAATTATTTTCAGTATGGCTCTTGTTTCTGTGTTTTTACCCTTTGAGAGCCGTGAGTTGAAACGTGTCCACGCAGTATGACAGAAAACTCTTCAGGTCTGTTTTACTGATGCCTCCGATCGGGTTGATATCTGCGCTGGAGCAATCGTACTTTGTGAAATATCCGGTCAGGCTGAAAGAAAAGGACAAAGAAAACAACATAATTAAAGGTGCATTGTGTAACTTTTTCTGATGTAGCGTCTGCCAGCTGCTACCTTCTTTGTCTCCATGCAGATGTTAGTTTTTTCTGTGCTTGGACTAACATTAAACATATCTATCTCCATGGATACAAGCAGGTGGTGCAACAAGGTCAAGTTACAGGTCAAATCTGTGGAGAGGTGAGTTTGCTTCTAGGTTTATTCAGGCATTTTTGAGAAATAAAAACACTTGTAATTTAATAAATGTATGAAAGATAAGCAGTCGAAACTGTCAAGTATGAAAACAAACTCTTGGTCTGAAAAAAGAATCTCATAACATAAATTATCGGAAGACCAAATGAACCTCATTGGACTATGTATTAAAGATAAGTTTAATGCCCTTCCCAGGCAACATCTCCACGGAGACAAACACCGTCCACAACAAAAGTTACATTGCCTTTAACGTAGCAATAAAATGTAAGTGCAAAAGACAGGATTTTATTTTTTGTCTAATTATTTTTGGGGTTGGTTGGATAATACTGCACTTGTGGTAAATATTATTCTTAGTTTTACACCAGACAAGTGGCAGTTTTCTGAAGGAAAGTTGAAAAATATAGTTTAATTTATTGATTATTGGTTTATTTGGTTGGGTTAGTGCAATTTTGAAAAATTAGAGCAATATCTTAAAATGTTAAATACAATAATTAGGAGAAGTATTAAAACATACCTCTCATAATTATTATATTTACGATTTGAAATGAATTGAAATGATGATCGAAAAAGAATAGAAATCATTGAATTGAAAAAGAAATGAATAGAAAGAATTGGAATAAACTGAAAAAGAATTGAAATGATGATTGAATATCAAACAATAACAATATGTGCCAAATGCGGTTGCCTGAAAATACTTTTATTACATTATATCAGTATGACTTTTACCTTTCATCTACATTTGCAGATCCAAGCACCAGAAGTCCTCCAGGTTTCCCACGAGCCCAAAGACACAACTGAGCGAACAAGTAAGCGAGGATCATCCGGACTCGAGCCTGGAAAAGAATGACATTTTTTGAGGACACAACTACTACAGTACTAGTATTCTTCTACTGCTCTACTAATATTTAAGTTAAGTGAAATAATGTCTCAAAAAAAACTGAATATCTAACATTTAATAACCAATACGGAGGAAATTGAGTAATTGATAATGACCTGAACGTTTTGCAAGGCCAGGTTCTCTCTGTGGCTGCCTCCGTTGGCTCTAAACCTCGGAAACATCCCGGTGACAGCAGAGAAAATACCCAGAATGCCTTTCACTGCCAGGTCTATGTTGATGTTCAGATGTGTGCTGGAAAAACAAAAGCAGAACACACAAAATAAATCACTATATAAATATCAAAATCTGTTAGAAAGTCAAAAAATCATTCAGTGTTCGGTTGTGGACTGTGGAAGCGGCCAAAAAAACCAAGAAGGCCTTCCAACTCTGACATCTACAATGATCCAAAGTCCTCCTGAACTCACCTGCCGATCTGCTGGGCCAGCTCCTGAGCCCTGTTCCTTGTGTCCGCGGAGGAGTTTTCACTGGACATGTAGCAGGTGGTGAAGACTCGACTGCACAGCTCCTTCGGATCCACCGGAGAATAAGAGTCATCCCCCACCACTCTCCGCACATCTGACAAAACCTGGGAGTCTGACAGAGAAACAAGGAAAATCATGCATCCAATAAAAAGCTGTGTAATGAGAGAGTAATAAAGTGTCAAATCATTTCAAATCTTGAAATTTGGTTGACTGTTTGAGGAACTGCAAACTGCTTCCACAATACACTACCGGTCAAAAGTTTTAGAACAGCACACTTTGTCCAGTTTTTCCTGTTGACCAAAATGTATTCTAAAAATTTGATTGATGAAAGTGTCCACCTTTGGCAGATTTAACAGCTGAACACACTCGTGGTTCGCTCTTTTTACAACAGAAATCAATTATTCTTCAGAAAGTTCTTCCCAATTCTGTTGCAGAACTTCCCATAAATGTGTGACACTTGTAGGTTTTTTGTCTTTCACTCTTCTGTCCAGTTCATCCCAAACCAGCTCGATGGGGTTTAAATCTGGAGACTGTGCTGGACACTCCATGTCAACAAGTTTATCATCTTGTTCTTTTTGGCAGAGCTTGGACTTGTGTTTTGTATCTTTTATCTTTTTTTTAACCTCTGGCTGTTTAGTTCTTGCCTTTGTATCATTTCAAGCTCTTCATTGGACTTGCACGACTTGAATTGCAATAAATAACTGGAAAAATTAGGGTGTTGTAAAACTTTTGACCGGTAGTGTATAATTCATAAAATTCCAAGGACAGAGACAGAAGACACTCCTGCCAAAAATGCATGGCTGGTGTCTAATTTGTAAAACATTAGGAGGAATTATGACTATAAGTGAATATATATTTATAAAAAAAACACACACACACACACAAATAAAACACAAATGAGTTGTATGGACTGCACATCTATTGATACCTCGCAGTGATGCTGGGGGTGTTTCTACATGTATGTGTATGGCGGAATGTTCAGCAGAGACATAATGAAACGATGCACAAGTTAGTAAACACCAGCCCAAAAAATGTTTAGATCAGATCTTCTTTCTGGTCTGATTGTGTTAAAATGAAGCTCAGATTAAAGTCTAAGTTCAGGAACAGAGCTTCAGGAATAGCGGTGCCTCCAGTCCAGGCATCACAACCCCAGAGAATATTTAGCCAGGCTGTCGCCACCTAGTGCCTCCACTCAATTTCATTTCTCTCCAGCAACTAGGTCAGGAATCAGAATACACTGGACGGTTTGCAAGAACCCCTGAAGTGTGAGTTCGGGCACCAGCCAGTCAGCAAAGAGTCATACATTCTGTGTTGACAACGATTCCCAAGATCGAGCATTTAAAGCCGGAACAAAGAGAATGTTTGGTGAATTTTATCAAGGGTAAAGACGTTATTGCCCTTCTTTCTACGGGATTTAGCGCATTACATACGTCATGACCAAATAGCAGCGACTGGTTACCATAAATGGAAAAAAGTAGCCTACTCGCCTAACGTCGAGCAAATTCTAACGCTGCAAGGTCAGACGGTTTCTACTAGGCTGCAAAATATCAATATGCAGGTAGTTTTTAATTATTCACAAATGTAACACAGAAAGTTAGGTCACATTTTTCAATGTTTTTATTTGTAAAAACATTTTACAAAACAATATAGAAACGATATAGAACAGTATAAACAATGTCAATGTATTCTTAATACATTTCTCTTTTTTCTTTATTTCTGTAGTAGTGAGAACATGACCACGTAACACAGAACCACTATTCCTGTATCGAACATAAGGCATTTCCATGAGCAAAAAATCACATTGAAACTCCACAAATATTGACCCACTTTTTTTTTAAAAAGAGTAGGTATCTTTTGTTTTATCCAACATCACCATAAAATACATACAGATGTATTTTTTTAATACTCAGAATTCAACTTAACCGTACAGAACCAAAAGATGCTGTGAAGTCATTTGAAACCGAACAATAACTGGCAAGAAATTGGACCACAAAGACGAGCCTCCTTTGCAGGAACGAGTTTTAAAAGTTAAAATCCATGTTGTTCTTCCATCATCTCGTGATTCTCTGAATGTTCGGTTTCTGTTTTGTTCTTTAGGTCAAATGCAGATGGATAATGCAAAACTTGTGTGAACAGCAGCTCCATCAGATCACGCACATAACCTGAAAGAAACGTTTTGTGTTTTAGAGTGTCAACAAAAATGTAAAGAGAAAAATAAGAGACAAGAATCAATACAAGCTATGAAGATATGAACAATATGAACAACTATCAATACTGAAAAAAAATCTATTAAGCAACTGAATTGATTCAGAAATTTTCAGTAGCCAATAATGTGCTTTTTTATAGCCTTTTAAAATCAAAATTACGTTCAGAATTAACAGGAAGAAATGTGAAATTGTTTTAAGTTAAAATAAACTATAATGACAGAATTGTGCAAATTGATATTGAAAGCAGGTTTAGTTTTATTTTTAAGACAAAATAAAATTTAATTGAAAATGAGGACTGATCAATATGAGAGGGAAATAGTAAAATTATATTATTTTATATTTTACTATTTATGCATTTTTTTAAATAAATTGTAAAACATTATAAAATATTATCATAAGTTTATTTTATATTCATTTTATAAAGAGGGCTGAAAATTTTAAAGGCCTAAATGATAAAAACATTTTTTTTTTATTTAAATTTTTTTTTTATAATTTGTCCTATAAATAGTTTTACAGACAAAGATCACAACTATTCACTAGATAATCTAGGTCATCATTGTACGTAAGAAATTTGTTCAACCTATTTTGTTTTTTTAAGTGAGTAAATAAGAAAATAAAGAAATTATTAAAATAAATTTTTAAAAAGTGAAAAAAATAAAATAAAAAAAAATTCCCAGGCATCTGTATACTTTCCAGTTGCTCGACTACATTCAATAATAACAATATCAAACCATTTTATTAATAATGTGATTTTCAAGACACTAAAAGATGCCATACAAAAACAATGACAGTTATTCTTAACTCATTTACCGTATGTTGCCTTTGTTTTCACATTGGGACAGGCCTGCTTCGATTTGACAAACAGAAAATCGTTTCCGGTCATTTCTTGATCAGGCGCTGTGTTTTCATTAAAGTGCATCGCCGCCAAAAAGAGCCTAAGAATAACAAACACAAAACAAGCTGAATTTCACAACGATGTCATAATAAACAATCAATGACTTTAGAGAGAGAGGAATAATGAGGAATAACACTTCACATGAACTTTTCTGAAATCAGTCGTCCCTCTGAGGAAAATTGTTACAAGCATTAGAACTCAAAAAGTCAAATAAGAAAATTGGAATCATCACTTTTGCAGTTAAAATACTGTATATTTTTGTCTCTCAGTAATAAGAAAATGTGAACAATGTTTTTATTAACAAAAAATTGAGCTTAAATATTAATATATAGCTCAATTTTGCTCAAACTACTCTTTCAGAAGAGTTTTACGTAATTAGATATTACAAGAAAACCTTTATTTGTGCCAGAATGGAGAAATTTCAATGCTGCAACACAAAGTTCAATAATGATACGCTGATTTTTACCTGCACTTGGTCTCTATCAGGGAGAAGGTCACATCTTCAGGTTTAAACCGCACACTGAGTTTATGAAACAGGTCGAGCGAAGACGTCTGGTGATTGGAGCACAGCTTTGGAACGTCACGGAGAACGCGTTTGTCCAGGAGCAACTTCTCAACTTCATGGAGAGGTTTAGTGTCTGAAAGAAAGAAAGACAACAGAGTGAACATAGGGCAAGGCATAAAACATAAACACAAGTAACTGAAAAAAAACAAAAAACAAAACACATTAATCTTGACTGATCTAAGCCACCTTACATTTTTAATAATCCTTTAAGTGAATCTTCAAAATCATTCAAGACCTCATACTCTCCACCCTCGTCTTTCAAACCAACTAACTCTCCATAAAAAGTAACTGCAGATTTTGATCAGTTTATATTTTAATCATTTTTGTTTATTTTACTCCAAGTTCATCCCAACAAAATAAAACATATTTTTTGCAGTGAACAGATAAACAATATGAGCTGTTCCTTTAACCCAGGGGTGGGCAAACTTTTTGACTTGTGGGCCACAAAGGGTTCTAAAATTTGACAGAAGGGCCGGACCAGGAGCAGATGGATGGAGCTTTTTGGTAATCCACCTCATAAGAGAAAAAAAATAACATGGGATATGTAGAGATATCAACAATAAGATATCCCATAATTAAAAATCATTAAAAAGCATTACAACAAAATATCTGTCTTTCAAGTCCCATGGTATTTACTGTTTACTGAAATGACCTTTAAAACACTGAAAATTATTTATTGTTGTCGTCCTTGTTGTCCAACCCTGCTCTAACCTGTTCTTATTTGTCGAGATGGGCCGATATATCAGACTGATATTTGCACTTTTTAGTTCATCTGCTATCAGACTTAAATCTGCTGCAGAGATCGATATATTGTCTGTCAAAACTGCTGCCTGAATATAAATAAAGAATATGCATGAAGCTTTATCTGAAGATTTTAGTACAAAGAGTGTATTGCAAAAACATGACACTGCTCTCTTATCAGTTTGTAGTAAAACAAAGGTTGTGGATGAGTTTGTAGTTAATTAAAATTAGATAATTGGGGAAATCACTCCAAAAATATTAGGGAAACTCATCAGCCATCAGTCAATCTCAATCCAAAACTGTACAATATCTCTGGTCTCTTTACGATCCAGCTCCTCTTTCATTTATGCAGAAAACTCCTGAATATAGAAATAAAGAGTACACACCTGGTTTGAACCACTTGTCTGGGTTTCTGGTCTTTTTGTCGGGATGGGCGCACTGGGGAAACACAGGATCGTCGTGCTTGTGGATGTCTTGAAGGTGGTTTATTTGAGAAATCCATTTGGCCACTTTCTCTTCCCCAGACGAGGACGAGGCGGCCGCCCAGTACATGTGGTGTTTGATCGCCGGAGACCACTTCTTTAACACCTCGAAGTCTTTCTTTTCTGATAACGCGTCCAATTTCTTTGATAAATCTGCAAAAGAGGTGTTTTAATCAGTATGGGTTTACAGTGTTCAAATCCAAATAAAAAACGGTTCTGTTTATCTCATGAGTAAAAGGTTTTTATTCTACACTTTCTTCTCTTTTGAGGTACATTATATTATGATTATTAATATTTTTGTTGGTATAGAGATTTAAATATGTATTTCTTAAACTTGCCTTGCCTTACCGTTTTTAATTGTATTTTATTTTTGTATTTTAAATTAACCCGTCCCATTGCACACAGTTCAACTAGATACCTTAGATTGAATTTGCAGTATCTAAACTGGTCAGAAAATTTGCAGTTTTGACTAAAGCTTAAGTTACGATCCACATTTTAAAACAAAGGTTACTTCAAGCCCCATTTGGGACCATGTACAAATCTCTGCTCACCTTTCTCCAATCTCCACACGTCGTAGTACTGAGTGATCTGTCTGTTCTGGAGATACTTCTGGACTTTGGCGTGACGGTCGGTGACGATGTAATCCACCTTCAGGTTGTTTGCCTCCAGTCGGTCCAGGCTCCGTTTAAGGCCTCTCTTTTCCATGAGGTTTTTGTCTCCCACTTTTTTGCTCTACAACATTCAAACAAAACAGTTATTTCAATCGAGTTAATTTACAGTTTAAATTCAACTTCTTCATCTTCACACAATACTGATGTTAAATCTGGAGGTGGCACGTCATCTGCATGACTCCATAGAAAATGGAAAATTAAAAGCGTACTTCAAAACAAACCCCATGGAGATGTATTTTTATACCATACTGTTGAGGATTATAGCCAAATGAACATTTCCATGGAAACAAGCAAGAGGCGGCTCTGCTCCAGGCGAGGCAAGAGTAAAGACACTTTTCACTCAATCAAAAATGTTCTATTTTTGGGGGTTAAGCAAAACCATGTTCCCTCATCATTTACAGATTTACAGTTTAAAATATGTGGGACAGTGAAATGATCAGAATGTGTAAAACACGCAGGAGCACTTTTGGGTTTAAGAGTTGACGAAGCAAGTTCAAACAACAGTAATCTAACAAAAATCCACTGCGTATTGGATCAGTGTAGCATAAACTACAGCCTGTGTATTTTGTTCTGTCGTCCAGTAGGTGGTGGTAAAAGACACAAACCTGCACAAGCTGGATGTCAAGTATTTTTTTGCTTTCCAGATCCATTGTGGTGTAACTTCCTAATTTAGCACTGGGTCCTGAAAATACATGAAGAAACGTCATAAAATGTAAATCCTACTTAAATATAACAACATAATTAACGTGAAGGGCTTCTGACCAGGTGGATGAGCCCTCATGTCACCAGCCACAGGCAGCTCCAAGTGCTCTCTGCACTCGTCAAACACTCGCTCCTGGTGCAGTTTCCAGTTGTGGCAGATGGTGGGTTCAAGAAACATCCGTGAATGTTTTTTAAATGTATCCAACTGGTGGATTTGAAGGTTAATTCCTTTGCATATCTGTCCAAAACACAAAGAAACAGTGTGAATAAAAACGGCTGAAGAACTACGCTGAGAAAGTTTTTTTTTTCTGAGAAAATCTTTAGAAAAGGATACGAATGTTCATGTGTTGTTGTTTTTTTTATAACAAAGAAAGATTCAATGTACAGAGCAAATTCAAATCATTAAAAATTGACAGAACACTGAAATATGAGCTGTAAAAGTTATATAAGAATCCCATGCATTTCATAGCACATTTAAATTGCTCAAGTCTTAACTAGAGAGTAAGCAGGATTTATACATATGAGAATGGAAATACAGGAACATTTACTTCTGCTATTTAATTTCATACCAACCGAACAATTTGTCTAATACAAAAAAAGAAATATGGGGTAGACTGATCAAAATCATATCACAAGCATAATTTTGTTGGTTAGAATTGCTGTCATTTCGGTAATAAAAGGCTTTTTGCCGGGACCAAAATTACACATCTCTAAACCTCCCATTTAAAACAGCTAACCCTGTAGTTTAGGCCTCCACAGACATGTTCTGAAATGCACGGGATTCTTGTACTAGTTTAACAAATAATAATTAGCTCACTTTCAAATGCTAATGCTCCTGGGCGCTTGCACTTTGAACTGAATCTTGACTTACAAATCAAACACGCACACATTTGGGAACTACTGGAGTACAACAGTTAGATAAAGATGTTTTAATAATATTATAGTACAGAATAATAGAATTGGTTTAGGTGCAGACAGATGCATAAGGAATATATAACCACGGTATTGAACCAGCCATCTGAATCACCATTTGCATTTGCCAAATTACAAGGTGATATTTTTGCATAGAAATAATTAACTGATTTAGTAATCAAATAATCGTTGACAGGTCTAACATAGGCTCCAAAACATGCCATGGGCTGAAAAGGGGGTTTTATGACTCATACAAAGCTGTAATTACACGAAAATGACACAGGAAATGGGTACATTGTGTTTTTTAAACACTCTTCAGTCTGTAATTAGACATCAGGATGTTCTCAAGGAGCTTCACTTCAGCTTTATCTGGGTAAAAACCTCCTATTAAAAGGCTTTTTGTGTTCGAGTGAAATTCGTGTAGCTTTAAGCCATGTTAGAATGTCTTTACCCCCTCAAAAATACACCTGGAGTTGCGTTTTGTTTCATTCACACACGTTTGAGGAACCTTTTATTATTAGTCTGTTCATCTCCAAAGCTCAAAATGCTCTGGTCCACCTGGTGATGTCATGAAGTGAACAGCTTTTACTTTTTACCTTGTGTTCAGTAGAGATTGGCAATTCCAGGTACGAAGTCATCCAAATGATTCTAGTGAAAAACACAGTGGAGCACTTTTTGTATTACGACATGACATCACAAAGTGGAACAGAGTGTTTTCTCTCTAAGAAAAGAACTCCTTAAATATATATATATAAAAAAGAAAGTCTTAAATATGCAGGGTTTGTGTGTTAAAAATGTATGCACGAAACAAAACTCCAGGTATAGTCCAATGAGGTTCATTTGGTCTTCTGATAATTTATGTTATTAGGTTCTTATTTCAGACCAAGAGTTTGTTTTCATACCTGACCGTTTCAACTGCTCACTTGCGGTCTTCCTCAGAGTGATCATGTGATGTTACTGTGATGTGTCCGGTGAGCTGATTTACTGTATTTTCCGGGCTATTAGGCACTCTGGGTTATAAGACGCACTGTCATTAAATGGTCTATTTTCAAACTTTTTTGACAAATAAATCGCACCGGACTTTAAACGAAACACAACAATTGGATGGGTGAGTCAGACTTTGTTTGGCGCGTTCACGGTGACTCTGGGCTTTGTTCAGTTGTGGCGTGTAGGGAGGGTGCTGTCTGGGACCGCTGGATTGTCGGCGTGTTTGCAGTGACTCAGTTGCTCAGTTGTGTCAAGAAGTGGCACATTCCACTCGCTTTTTCGGTTTGTTCCTCCGTTCCGTTCCTCGTCCGTGTGGAGTAATGTGTGTCTGCGGGTGTTTTTCGCTGTGCGGTCACTGTCTGCTCCGTGTGTGTTTGTGTGCGCTGTGGGTGGTGTGGCTTTGTAGTTTACTGAAGTCGTGCTGGGACACCTGAGTGGATTCGTGTATAGGGCGCTCTGGATTGCGGTGCGTCATTTTTTGATGGGGTTAGAGGCTTAAGAGCGCGTCTAATAGCCTGGAAAATACGGTATACAGGTTTTGGCGCCATCTGCAGTCCGACTTCCTCAGGTGTGTGAGAGTAAAAAAGCCCCCTCATCCCGATTTATAGTCCTGTGAGCACGTTTCCGTATTTCGATTGCCTCTTTAATCCAGTTTGTAACAGCAACATCACGTGACGACTCTGAGGAAGAGCGCTAATGAGCAGTCGAAACTGTCAGGTATGAAAACAAACTCTTGGTCTGAAAAAAGAACCTAATAACATAAAACTCCAGGTATGTTATTGATGAGGAAACTATCACAATTTTATCTTCGCACTGTTTTTTCTTACAACATCTTGTATGTACAGTAGCGGAGATCTATTTCTAAGTCTAAGAAATGGCTTTCTAACATGCAGCAGATATAGCACAATATAAGCCTTTTAAGTGATGTTAATTGAAAATACCCTTTGCATTTTCTGGAAGGATCCACCAGAGAAGTACACAGAGGCGGAGAGCTGCAGGTCTCCCACAGGCGTGCTCCGGGTCACGGGCTGGTTCTGCCACGTGCGGCTGTACATGCACTCGGGGCAGTGTTGGGTGAAGGAGACAAAGGTCCCACACCTCTGTCTCTGCACCGCACACTCCGAGTTACACACGGGACACTGCTCAAACAGCTGACGAAGGTTCTTTTCAAACACGATGTACTTTGTGTCCTCATAGTCTGGGGTAAGGTCTGTGTCCCTGCGGAGAAAAGAATATGTTAAAAGGTGCGTTATGTAACTTTTTGGTTCAAGGACTATCATCTGCTTGCTTCTATGGATATGTCAAGTTCCACAGTGTGACATTAAACAGCTCTACTTTACATTAATTCAATTACAGGTGGGTTTACAGCTCAAAAACACCTAGAAAAACAGGCATTCTGGGTGTGAGTGGGGTTGCCTTTCCACAGATCTAACCTGTAATGTGGTCTGGTTTGGTCTTTTATATTTTTCTCTTTGTTATTATAATGTATTGTGATGTGTGAGCTACTGTGTCCAAGTAATTTGTCATGTTAATCCATGAAATTTGTTTAAGTCTAAGTCTCCATGAAGAGACAAAAGCTTAATAATATACTGTGAAACATGTCAGACAAAGCAATAACATCTCCAGGTTTCGTTTCTTTGTTTTTTTTTTTTTTCAATAATGAAAAACAATATACTCTGCATTACTTTGCATGAAAAGAGATTTGTTATTTTTATTGTAATACACCCAGATTTGAGCAAGTGACTTCTAATGCTAATAATTATTGCTTCCTTCTGCTATTTATTTGTTCTAGCTGTTTGTCGTTTAATGGCACGGTCTCTTTAAAAATTGATTTACAAGGATTATATTGCTTTATTGGTTTTCATATTAAAATTTTCAATACTATTGTTTATCGAAATATTCTGTATATCTATCGCAATATATTATGCTTCAAAGTTTGTTACTGTGACAAGCCTCAGCTAGTGTTGTCACAATACTAAAATTTCAACCTCTAATTCAATCATAGTAAAGGATAGACTCGATACTTAATACCAATATTGCAATGATAATTAAAAAACAAAACAAAACACTTTAGACAGTAGAATGTGAGTTTTAACATTAAATAGTACTTTCATTTATATTACTATCTGGTTTTATATCTGTGCAATACATAGAACTATAATAAAATCTGGAAGATAAAACCAAGATGGTGTCGTGTGGTCCTATATTCCAAGTCCTGGTCCAAGATTAGACCTGGTTTAGACCTGGCTCAGTCCTGGCTCAGTCCTGGCTCAGTCCTGGTTTAGTCCTGGTTTAGTCCTGGTTTAGTCCTGGTTTAGACCTGGTTTAAGACCTGGTTTAAGACCTGGTTTAAGACCTGGTTTAAGACCTGGTTTAATCCTGGCTCAGTCCTGATTTAGTCCTGGTTTAGACCTGGCTCAGTCCTGGCTCAGTTCTGGCTCAGTCCTGGTTTAGTCCTGGTTTAGTCCTGGTTCAGTCCTGGCTCAGTTCTGGCTCAGTTCTGGCTCAGTCCTGGTTTAGTCCTGGCTCAGTCCTGGCTCAGTCCTGGCTCAGTCCTGGCTCAGTCCTGGCTCAGTTCTGGCTCAGTTCTGGTTTAGACCTGGTTTAGTACTGGTTTAGTCCATATACGGCACAAAAGTTCTGCAATAGTCGTGTAATGTTTTACATTTTAAATGCAGTAACATTTCAGTGTAATGAATTACACTGAAATGACAAGTAACAAGTCATAAATAACACATTACAGTTTTGAAGTAACTTGCCCAACAGTGTCAGTTAGTATCTGATATTTGATACTTTTAACAACCCAAGTTCACAAGTCATGACAACACTCAGCTCTCAATCTAAAATTATGACATCTACAATCTGCAAAGCAAACACAGTCTATAAGTAGTACTGGTAGTTCTACAAGGTGTGCAAAGAAGTGTCCTTTATCTTTAACTGGAAAGTCCGGTTGAGATATGGAATTTCATTTTTAGGAGAGCCTGTTGTAGTTTTTGCAGCAGGGGAAACCGGAAAACCTGGACAAAGCTACGCACGCACACTGTAAGACAACTCCAGGAATGGAATCTAACCTCTTTTCTTATCGCAATTTCTCATCACTACACACAATTCCTGTACTGTGCGACTTTATGCCTGAAGTTAGAATCATAAAACTTATAAAGAAGAGGACTGAGGGAGTGTGATGTCGCCCATAGCGCTTGGATCGAATCAAATGAAGCTCACGAGGCTAAGAGTTACAGGAGTGAATTTGGAGCAGAGTTTCATGTTAGGAATAGGAATAGGAATAGATTTACGGACAAAATAGCTACATAAAAACACCACGATCATGTAGAGCAGGTTAATACGACATCTTAAGACCAAAACAACGAGGCTCACAGCAGCATTTACAGAGAAAGGGAAGACAATTTTTCAATGTCAAGTAAATTGGAGCCAGAGTCGATGGAGCCCAAAGCGCACTCAAGCACTCAAAGTTTCAAGGATTATCAGTAATTTGCCCTGAATGTACAACAGTATAGCATTACCATAATTTCCGGACTATAAGCCACTACTGTTTTCTCACACTTTAAACCCTACGGCTTATACGACAATGCCGCTAATATATGGACGGATTATTTGTTTGGCACATTGTCCATTCATATACACGGTCTATGGTTTGGCAACACAAAGGATACGTGCAGCCTGAGTGCAGAAAACGCCGCTGTCTGTGTGGTTAACAGATAGAACATGGGTTAACATCAAGGTGCAGTGTTTGCTCGCGATATTGTCAGTGCGCTCAAATAGTTTATTGCCGTGTGATAAAATAAGTTATGATCCTAAATGAACATTAGTGAGTGGGACAGGTCTTACCCATATGTGTTAAATGCAGGTGAGTGTGTAAATGACGAGAAGAAACGTCTCAAACTTCAGTAGCCGGACATCCGTTCGATACACTTATCCCCGCCCCCGAGAGACTCTGAAATCTGCTGAAATCCTCCAAGACACTGACATGATACAGACAGGACAGCGGTTCTTTCTGCAGGAGACATGCACAGTAGAGCCCGGGGGTGATGCTCCGAGGAAGATGCTCGTTTGATTGTGTTTTGAACAGTTATTTTGCACTTCATACACACACCCTCCTCATGGAAAATACACAAAGAAATGCAAATGATGCAGCTTTTAAGTTAACGGCAACTGATCTGGCTGTCGAAGAAAATCGAGCTGCTGCACGTGAGCTTGGCATCAGTGAGTCGTTGGTGAGACTTTGGCGATGGAAGCGTGATGAACTGATTCAATGTAAAAAGATGATAAAAGCTTTCAGAGGCGGTAAAAGCAGACGGCCCTAACTTGAAAACGTTCTTGAAGACGTGGACACCTGCGGCTTATATTTATCGCCTCTGAAAGCATTTGTCGTCTTTTTGCATTGAGTCAGTTCGTCACACTGCCGCCACCAAAGTCTCACCATTGACTCATTGATGCCGAGCTCACGTGCAGCAGCTCGATTTCCTTCTTCAACAGTCACATCAATCGCCATCAACTTCGTGTGCTTTCTGTGAGGTGGGTGTGTGTATGAAGCACAAAATAACTGTTCAAAACTTCCTCGGCACATCACTCCCGTCTCTCCCCGCACTCTACTGCACATGTCTCCTGCAAGAGCCGCTGTCCTGTCTGTATCATGACATTGTCTCGTGGGATTTCAGCAAATCTCAGACTCTCTCAGGGGCAGGGTTAGTTCTGTCGATCAGGTATGAGTGGATGTGCGGCTACTGAAGTTTGAGACGTTTCTTCTCGTCATTTACGTATACGGGTAAGATGGATCCTCCTCACTAATGTTCATTTAGCACCATAACTTATTTTATCACATGGCGATAAACTATTTGAGTGCACTGACAATATCGCGAGTAGCACAGACAGACTAGTGTAGCACAGACAGACAGACGCTTTCTGCACTCAGGCTGCGCGCGTATCCACTGTGTTGCCAAAACATAGACCGCATATATGAATGGCCAATGTGGCGGACAAAGAATCCATCCATATATGCGCCGCATCGTTTTATTAGCCGCAGGGCTCAAAGTGTGAGAAAAAAGTAGCGTCGGTTTGTATAATTTAAAAATTTTGTTAAAATTTAGATGATGTGGTTTATATTCAGGTGCGTTCAATAATCCAAAAATTACGGTAATCTCATTTTGCATTTATTCAGTTACAGCTGTTTTTATTACATCCCCAAGACAGACCAAAAGGAGTAGTAGTGGGTAGAAAAAGTTAGATGGCAGAGAGCATGAGCATGACTGAGAGCATAAAGCTGTACTCCGTCTCAGTAATAATAAGGTTCAGATCACACTTTAAACAAATACTGTCATAACACCAATTCCTACTTTTATTATCAGTAAAAATACAAACTTACGTCAGTTCAGTGAAGTTATAAACACTGGTTCTATGAGACGAATCATCAAACACGGGCTCATCTTCGTCCTGCTCCTCCTCAACTCGCTCTTCCTCCATTTCCACACGAGGCCTCTTTTTGGGTCGACTCTGCACTAAGAAGGCTCTGGCCAATGGTAAAGTTATTTTCCTCTTGACCGTCTGGACACCTACGTTTACAGTATGGAATGTATTTGAGGCTTGGACAGCTGAGAAATGCAAATACAAAAGAGAAATTCAAAAAGAAACTATAATAACTACACCTTAATTCATTTAATAAAAGCATGAACAAAGAATTCATCTTATTTCATGTAGGCCTGTCACAATAACTACTTATATCAGCTCGTTGTTCAAAATATGATTACGGGAATAATATACTTAGGGGTGCAATATTTTTCCTATGTACATGTTCTTTGCAATAATGGGAAGATTTGTTATTTTTTTATTTAATGCAATAAGATTTGAGCTGCAGAGGGTAGAATAAATGTGAAATGCACCAATCCAGCTTTTTCTGGTCTGATACCAATGTTGATACATTTGGCCAAAATCAAGAGATACCAGTGCAGAGACGGATTTTCTTTAAACACAAATGGTAAAATATGGTTAAATATTACCCAAATTTGCTTTGTAAGTGTTTATCATTCAAAGATTTAACCTACAGAACAGCTTTGAAAAAACACAAGTTCAATTATACGATGTGTTTTGGGTCAACATTGCCCAGTAAATTGTCTTACTACACAAATTTACAGATCAAAATGAGGAATCGACTGAACTGATATCTTGGAACCGAGATCTGATCCATCAAATTTTTCAGTATCATTGGAGAAATCTGAAAATCTGATACGAGCAATATATCGGTGCATCCCTAAAATAAATAATTTCTGTGGCTAATTATTGGGTCATTCTGCTATTTATTTGTTGCAGCTCAGGCTTTTTGTCTATTTAAAAGTGAGTTTACTGGGATTACTCTGCTTTGTGTCAGTGGCATGAAGTAGTTTCAGTATTATCATTCATTGCAGTATTTCTCTGTAGCAATATCTTGGGCTTCAAATGTGTTATCGTGACAGGCCTAGTACTATGTAACTTTTCTGATGGAGGGTCTCCACATAGAAGTTGTCAGATCTCCATGAAGACAAGCAGGTGACCTCACTAGGCCAAGTTACTGGTTATATCTGTGAAGAGGCGAGTTGCGAGTTCCCCTCACAGTAAGTTTATGGACAGATTTTCTTAGCAATGTACAAGTCATGCTCTATTTCAAGTAGAACTGGGTGATATGGGAGAAAAATAATCACGATTTATTTTTCCTATATTGACTGATCTCGATTTTTGATTCAATATTCTCCCATCTTATCAAAAACACAGATTGGCATAAGACCGCAGTATGTCAGGATCACTACAGTTTTTATTTCGTGTTGATAGGACCAGTAATTCTGTCGAAATTCGCATTTAGAGTTTGGAATGCATGCAACAGAAACACATGTGCGATGTTCGTGCGCTAAATCAGGACTTAAGTTTCACTCATAACTCACTCTTCACTCATAAACGGTGAGAAAAACAGTCATTTACTTTCCGCATAATGATCAGAAGCAGAAGAGGAGGGAATGAGGAGAAAAGGTGAAGAGCTGGATCAGAGAGAGAACTTGTGAAACGTGAGGATTCCTGAAGAAACACATGCGCTGTAACTCAGGTGCTTCTTTTCTAAACAAGACGGTGTTAAGTCCTCGTCAGCACTACGCGCTTTCTCTGTCACACGATTGGCTGTTGACTTGATTAAAATGCACACGCCTCATCATCAAGCTCGACAAAAAATGAGTTTGCGATCTATGAATGTTACGATTCTGGGCACAGCCCTAATTTCAATAAATACAATCTGATCAAATTGTAAAAAGCAGGTGATGGACTTTCAACCAGAAAAGTTACATAGAAAATATTTCCAAAGACTATTGAGAAATACTCTTCGACACCAATTTATAATTACACTGTTATGATGCATACCACATACCTTTGCTTCTGATGTTTTTTAGCGTATTGGCGGATAGCTGCGTCGCGACTGATCTCGTGGCTGATCTTTGGGATCTGAACGGAGGGTCTTTTTTGCCAGAGATTAACATAACCGGAAACGAGCTGAGCGAAGGCGTCAGTGAGGGGCTGTAGACAGGGTGGCCCGCCGGTTGACTTAAATCAATGGATGAGATGGACGGTTTCTCCTCAGGTAGGTCCAACAGCTCCACCGATAAGTTCTGAGACAAAGAGATTAATAAATATATAATCATTTCAATCAGGAAAAATACAAAGCGTAGAATTGTACCACATCAACAAGAGAAATTAACCTTGAACCTGAATAGCTTTAGAATGATTTTAAGCTGTATCAGAACAAGTATAAGAGCACATAGACTAGTATTTGCCCATAGACCACTGAGGAATTACACAGATATAAGGCCACATGGTAATATAAAAGTAAGTACTATTTTCAATTTTGACAGTTTCATTCTACTGTCTAAATATAAATAGTGTTTTTGTAAATAATCATCATTATGTTTTGAGTACTGAGTCTATTCCTTAGAACTGAAATCAAGCTTAAACTTTTAGTATTGGGACAAAACTACTGCAAAACTATTTTATATGCTTAGTAATTTTGACCTAAAAGCGCATCTAAGAGGATTTTTTATTTTTTTCTAATTTATACTTAGTTTTAATTAGATTATACCTGTAGTAGTAAGTAACAATTATCATAACTTTGCATCTGGCAAGTAGTAGTATGTGAAGAAATGTAAAAAAAAATAATACAGTAAGTCCAAGAACAGAATTTGATCACCTGTGTTTCCAACATGTTTATACTAATACTGTGGCAATGTATTTGAACCCTGTTATTTAATACAATATTTTAGTGTGTAAAAACACTGAATTAAAAAGTGGGAGGGTTGGAGCTTTTCACTTTCAGATAAAATTAAAAACATAGTCTAGGTAATTGCCCTACCTTTTGTTTTACATTCTGTCAATTTTAAGCACACACACTGCAAAATACACATCCTTAATTAAACGATTAACCTATGTTCTTTCAGATTATAATATGATGTGATGCTACCAGATGTGTGGCAATTTGTCCCTATTGTGTCACTAACATAAATAATGTCATGCCACCTTGTTATATAAAAACAAAAGTATAAATCTAAGCATGTGACAGTGACTTTAAGGTCCAAAAAACACATTCTGCGAGTGTAAACATTAATTAAAACCAAACAAATAAAATAAAACGTGTTTCCATGAATCAGTATTTGTTAAATCTCGCTACTGTGTAATTAAGACAAGCCTTGGCCTTTGTTGACAGTCAGGTTGCTCGGTAACATATAATTACCTTTTGTCACATCTGCAGCCCATGTCCAAAACAGGAAGTAAAATTATAAACTTTAACAAAACTGAAAACTATGAATAATATTTAGCCAAATTGTAAATATTATACAATTATAACAACATTTCAGTGACCATGAGTAATCTAAGCTGTCATCTGCACTTAAAGTATTAGTTTAGTCCTGGTCTAGTCCAGTCAGCCCTATTTCTGCAAACAAAATAGTAATTATTTGGTACTTACAGGGTCATTATAACAAATAGTAGGAACAGAGCCGTGTCTAATATGCAATCTCGCACATAATCCCGTTTGAAACATTGGTTTATTGAGAAAGCACTCGTCTGCAAAGTGGCGATCACAAACTAGCATGGTTTTATAGTCTTTAAGTTTCCTGTTTCCATACACGAAATTTCGCCATTCTTGACGAGTGGGTTCTTCTTTAGGTAAGCTGAATAAAGTGTTAAAAAAGTCACAGCCCATCACGCATTTTCGCTTCGCTGTAGGGAACGACATCTTGTAAAAACGTAACAGGATTTAGTACAAAAGGTAAAAAAAAAAAAAAAAAAAAAAAAAAAAAAAAAAAGATCTGTTTTTTTGGTCTAAATTTGTAAATACGAGCGACACCGGAAGCGCACGCTTTTCTATTTCCGGCAGATTGAATTAAATTATTATTAGTACCCTCTGCTGGTAAAAACACCTATGTACAAATAATATTAAGTTGTAACAATAAAAAAATACATTTACGTTTGATTTAAGCTTGCTTTGGTTATAATTATGGCCCTTTATCGTAATTAAGACCTAATTTAGTCCTGGTTTAGCCCTGGTTTAGTCTTGACACAGTCCTGTCAATTTGCATTTTTGGTTTAGTCATGATTTAGTCTTGATTTATCCAGATTTTGTGTTTGCATATGGAAAATATTAATGCCTGCCCACTGAATCCCGTGTCGTGCATTGTGTGTCAAATGTGTACGTGTGCAGAATTATTGCAGAACAAGTTGCTCTATAATAATTCATTTATACTTACAGATCTTGGTTGGACATTGATATACATTGTAGGAATAGAGCCAGATCTAAGTGTCAGCCTGTTGCATAATCCAGACTCATACATTGACTTATTCATCAAGCAGTCCTCTTCAAAGTGCCGATCACATACAAACAGATTTTTGGTGAAGTTTTGTTGCTTGGGGTTTCCATAAATGAAATCTAGCCAAGCCTCCCGGGTAGCTTCCTCTTTTGGTAGGTTGTATAAAGAAGTATAATCCTCACAGCCGAAAACACACTTCCTCCACGACGACATCTTGAGTAAAAATGCTCAGTATGCACGAACAAAGCGGAGATTTAATAGAAAAAAACTAAAAAAAATGCAGCGTGTCCAAATTTGTAAACACAGGAAGTGCATACTATTCGGTTTCCGGTACGGACTGGGTACGTTTGTTCAATGCAATGCTCCCCTCTACTGGTTTTATAATAAAGCAACACGAAAACTTATATTAAAACATTAATTAATAAATAGTAGCGATTAAACAGCGTTTCCCGTCAATACAGGAGAGTGTTAAGAGTTAAAATTCTCCTCCACACAGTAAAAAATAAAAATAAAATAATAATAATAATTGTTATAACGAAAATGGCACGTTGTCTTTGTTATTATGCAAAATAAGGGTGACCAGACCCAGCAGATTTATGCAAAACAAGTGATTTGTCCCAGTTTGAAACAAGAAATGCCCCAGCTGTTCCTATTTTTTATTTTATTTTTTTTTAATCAATCTGATCCGTGAACAAAAAGATGCATACATTGTCATTTCTTTAGGTAAAATACAGAAAAGCTGCTTAAAAATGACAAAAACACACAAAAAATTTGACTGTACTGATCATTAGTCACGAGTGCACAACAATTTTCCTTAATTACGCACTCGTTTCACAAATTTATTATTACAAACCAGGGATGACCCAGTTTTTTATTTTGAAAATCTGGTCACCCTATACATTATTATACTTTTATTTATATTTTTTAACTACACTATTCAGAAAAGACAGTGCAAACATGAAATATATGCACAAGCAACATGCGTGGGCGAAATGACAAAACAAAAAAATTTTATAAAAGCGACCAGTTTGAACGAAAATTAAGGGAAATATTGTCATTTGTGTGCACTTTGTCAAGTACTAGTCAAGTCCTTAATCCTAGTTTTGACTTTTTTTTTTTTATCTGAATTTTCAACTTTAGTTTAGACATGGTTTTGGTGTCCTTCCATAGTATATTTTGTCAATATTTATAGTTTGATTATATCCTAGATCTTATTCAGTCATGGATTGATATGCAGATGACATAAAACCAACACGTGCATTATAAAACAAAAACAGAAATGTATTTATACTCACGTGTGTGGGTGGCATTGGCTCGTAAATTGAAGGAACAGCACCGGTTCGTAGACTTATAGTTGAGATGACTCCGCTGTCAAACAAGCCTTTATTAAGCATGCAGTCCTCGGTGAAATGGTGATCGCAAACATAGATGTGATTCTTGTACTCCCCTTGCAAATGCGCGAGGTGTGTGAAAATAAAATTAAGCCATTTCTGTAGAGTGGCTTCGTCTTTTGGTTGGCTGAATAACACATTGGGGTTCGGGCAGCGGAATATGCATCTGCGCGGCATGGTGGGATTAACGATGCGCAGTGGATCCGCAGCGAAATCCGAGTTAAATTCCCAAACAAAAACGCGTGGTTCTCACAAAAAACTTCCCCCCAACTGCAAAACTGTAAAATTGTAAACAAAAACGCCACTTCTTCTTAGTTTTCGTGCGCAGAATCAACGCAACGCTGCCCTCTCATGGCCTCACGTATGTAGATCATAAACAGTCTGTGATGCACGTGTAATAATCAGTAAATAAAACAGAAAAGTGTCATGTGTTAGAAGGTGTATTATCACTGTTTCTCCACCAGTTTATACACTTAACACACAGATTATGGTGGCAGAAGTGATAAATACTTGAATAATTTTATATATGTATGAGTAGATATAGGAGTAAATTTGCCTTTTTGGCTCTGCTGATAAAAATAATGACTCAATACAGACAAAATATAGTTACTTCTATATGTTTTCAACAATACTACAGACATAAAAGCTTAATTAATTATACCAGTTTTTCGTTCATTTTATTTTTAGACTACAGGGGCCAAACATTAGGCTATGGGGGGCCACCAAAGTCTCTCGTCTATTATTGGGAAATACTGCATTAAGTAACTTTTTTTAGTGAAAGGTCTGCCACCTGCTCGTCTCCATGGATATATTAAAGCTTTGCAAGGAATATTCCACAGTATTGCTGCCTTTCAGATGATATCACAACATTCTATAGGCCAATAACATTGAAGCTAAACAGAAAATTTTAATAATATAGTTTTTTTTTTGTTGTTGTTGTCATTAATAGAAATTATTTGGTTAAACATTTTCTGCATTAACTTTTTGGATATTTCACAGCAGAGCACAATTAAACGTTATTATCTATCGCCATGGAGACAAGCAGGCGACACCAACATCAAGCCATGTTAGACGCCAGATCTGTGGACAGGCAACACCGCCCAGCTGCAAAGTAAGCATGCATGTTTATAACTGAATAAATAACCATGATGACACTGTTCTATTAAACGTTTTTGGAATCAGTTTTTACTATTTCATTGGTCTCATGGTCCCTGAATCAGCTGGTTAAATGGATGAGTTTGGTGATTGTTAATCCTCAGAGCTGCCTGGACTCTCTATACTCAAGACAGTTACAGAGGACATCCCAGAGTATTAAAAAAGACGAGCAACATCCACTAAACTCAGAGTTTCAGCTGCTTTCTTCTGCTCAGAGGCTTTTAGTCCCAAGATCTAGAACAAATCGCTTTAAAAGGTGCTTCGTTCCAGCTCCTACTCTACTTATGAATAAATTGTAATCTATTTATCTATCAATTTTAGTACGTTTGTCTTGGAAAAAGGATGTGTTTTTATATATATTTAATATTTATTGTGTTTTTAGCCAAGCGTGATGGATGAATTTAAGCACTGTGACTGTGTTTTATACGTGTTTTTTGTACATAATGTGGATGAATGAAATGTGAAATGTGGGACCAGCCTCTCAAATCTGCAAAACAAATTTACCTACGGGTACGACTAACCTAAACTAACTTAAATGCAAGAACTAGAATGTCTTACTGTGGAACATTCCAGGCAAAACATCTCCATGGAGACAAGCAGATGGCATACCCTTCACTGGAAAAGTTACAAAATGCAGCTTTAAATTACATCTAACATGTACTATGACCTGTAAATGTGTAGACCATGAACTGTACCATATTTGTTGAAATATTTTGATCAAAAATCATTTTGAAATCTTACAACATGCCCTGTTTAAGTTCATTAATCACACAGGGGCATGTCTTGAAATTATTTAAATGTTTTTAAAATCCAGTACGAAACAAATTAACTTACTTCCGTTGTCTATGGCCCGACAGACCTGCACGCACATGGAGAAGACGATGCACGCTGTAGAGGAGCTGTCCACGCCACCGCTCAGAGGCAACAGGAAACCAGCCTGGGGTGAAAGGTCAAACACAGATGTCAGTGTGCGCTGTTTATAAATGTCAACAAGGCATTCGAGCTACAAGAAAGGGAAGGTTAGTTATAAAATGCTACAAAAATAGTTGCCCAATAGTGGCAAATCTAGACACATATCTATCTGTATATATATATATATAAAGATTGATATCCGTCTGGTCACTCCGCCCTCTGTTGCGTCTCGAGCCAGAACCAATCAGATTAACTTTTTTCAGTGACACATGTGAAACAGTGGAGCTAAAGTTGTGTAAAAAAGTAACTATCTTAGTCTTCTTTTTTAAAATGTTTTTATTAGTTAATTGTTGACCGCGCTTTTTTTTTTGCATTTACTTCAGTGTTTGCCTTACCTGTCCACTTCTTCGCAGGTAGTCCCAGAGCCAGCAGGCCGGCCCTAGACTGGACAAAAAAAAAAAAAGATTGTAAACCTAAACTAGATCAAATAAAATAAAATGTCAGGGTGGAATGAGATAAAAAATCCATGAGATGATACAAGACACAATTGAGGGACCATGAGAACAAGACCATACGATATTAAAAAATAAACAATCATAATGCTTGTGGGATTAATTGACTATGTAGAATAGAGTCTGTATTAGTTTTATTTGTACCTTATTTCTTCCTCGGCTGTGTGGTATCTCCAGTCAATCGGTTCATGAGTCGGGAGGAAAATGTCATCACAGCTCGACAAAGAGAAGTCCACTTTGACTCTGTGACAGGGTCTGAGGCCGGTCTCCTACAACACAGAACACAAAGACACAGTAATGTACATTTTCATTAACAAGGATTACGGCAGTGAAACAAATATTAGAATATTTGCAGAAGACAGGAGCAATGACATAAGCACATTTGAGTTTCCTTTAAGGCGATGCCATAGAAAATCATCTGTCTACTTTGGTATAAGAAACATTTTTAGAACAGGTCTTGTGTCCTAAGCTTTAGAAAGTATGAAGTACAAAAAAGTATAAAGAAAGTAGAACAGACAGTTAAAATCATACTTTGGGAAGATTTTCCATGGAGATAGATAAGTTTTATACCATACTGTGGAATATTCTAGCCAAAAGGAACAATATTTCCAGGGAAACAAGCAGGAGGCCAAATACGAGTTAGGTTTGTGGAGATGCGAGCCTACCTAGATTAAAGATGCACATTTTTCACTGCCAAAAAAAAAGTACAAAAATGAAAACACAAAACAAAATTTTTTTATCTTAACCTATTTTTTGAAGTCATATACCACAGGTGTCAAACATGCAGCCCAGGGGCCAGATCCGGCCCTCCAAGACCTTTAATCTGGCCCTCAGCTGATTTTCTACTAAAATATTTTAATTCTATTTTTTATTAAAATATTGTTAATTTTCTGTGGTGTTTATCACAGCAGCGTCTCCAGTGTCTCTGTACGTGGCCCCTCCCACCAGAGCAGCACAAATGAAGACTTGTCTCTTTCCAAACGCTCATAAAGGACGATTGTTTTGACTGTTGACTGTGACACCCTCATCAGAAAAATGTCAAAAATGAGAAAAGAGGAGCCGAGTGCAGGATTTTCCAAGAAAAATTTACTTATTCCTATTTATACAAGTAAAACAAGTTCATGTTAAAACATTGTGTTGAAATTGTATTTTTCTTAAAGTTTCAGGTTGTTCATAATATTATAATATGTTCATCAGAGTTCATCAATTAAAAAAATAATAGATTTGTGTTTCTCTGCACAAATATTTGAACTTATTGTTATTTTTGGGGTTTATATGCCTTGAGTTTTCTGATCCGGCCCCTTTGGGATCAAAGTAGGTTGGATACGGCCCCCGGACCGAAATGAGTTTGACACCCCTGTTATATACTGTGGTTTTAATTTTGGGGGGAAAGAAATTGTACATTACAACATCTAAATATATCCAAACAAGACAATAACCAACAAAAAATTCAATGCTGTCAACGGACAAAAGTTTTAGTGTGAAGATGAGCGGCGAAATGTCTTCACTCTTTTCATCATCATCGGCCAAGCTGACAGAATTGTATTTTTCGTTTTGTTTATGAAACTTGGAATTTGTTTTCAAGATGTAAATGTGTATCCAAAATGTAATGTTATTTTTAAACTTGTTAATGTGAAATGTAAAAGTGTTTTGCACTTGCCGGTCACTGTAGATCATACCTGGATAACTGAGGGATTACACAGGCAAACAAGCAATGACTATTAAATCTTCTAAACTCATGTCTCACCAGGTGTGGGTGACATCTCTCTCCTCTGTAACTGCGCACATCTTCTAGGTCCAGAGTGGCCATGATCACCTCCTACAAAACACAGAATCAAAACAGTTAATACAGTTTAAAATAAAAAATCCTTCAAATGAGTTTAGGATTTTTCAAAACAGTAAAAGCTCAAAACTTTTTACCACGTCGTCGAGGGAGAACTGGGCTCCCTGGGCGACGATGTCTCCATTGATGCCGATCATTGCGCATCCGTCGTAGTAAACTCGGTCTCCGTCACAGCCTTTCTGGTTTGCATACAGGTAGATCCCTCCACACTGAATGAACAAAATACACACAACATAAGATCTCTATATACTATACTCTATATTTATAGTATAGTACTTCTCTGATATCATACTTTTACTTTCTCCTACTCTTACTTCTCAGACAATCAGAATCAGACATCTTGCACCTAAATTGCCATTGTAACCCACTATCGGACATTATTAAAAAATCCTATCCTATATCCTATAACCAAACTCTATACCAGGGGCGTCAAACTCATTTTCACAAAGGGTCACATCTGGATCATGTTTGTCATCAAAGGGCCGGTTGTAAAGTTAAGACTGCAACTGTAACTGTAATATCGGTATATTACAAAACTTGTGCAGCTCTGGGGAAACGGTTTTGTTTATGACATGTGCTGTAGAAATAAAGTGGATTGGATTTGATTTGAAAGTTTAAGTTAAAACATTCACATTACTCCTTCTGTAACATTAATGAAACAGATGTCAGTGTTTCTTTTCTTGGACATTTTTGGGGAAATTTGATGAGTTTTCTTGGCCTTTCTAGTGGCGGAGATGCAGTCACTTCACGGGAAACAACTGCAGTGCATTGTGGGAGATGTAGTAGCGGCACAGAGTCACAAGATAATCATAAATTATGCCTTTTAACCCCTTGTAGGCCACATAAAATGGCTTGTCGGCCCGGATGTGGCCCATGGGCCTTGACCTTGCCACATGTGCGGTATAGGCGAGTTTCAGCTGACGTCATTGTTATTAAAAGCCCGCGTTGCATGCTGGGAAATATTTTGGTCAGAGGCAAGAAACACGATAGCGTCAAACACAGTGCGTAACCTCGTGTATTTATACCCGATAATGGTAAATTCCTGCTGCATTATCGGATGCACAAATTGAAGCACAGAAGAAGGAAAATGTCTTTTTTGTATTCCGAGTGAAAAGAACCACTAACGGTGAATTAAATGGCTTTCAAACATCCGCAGAGCAAACGTAGAAGATCCTAGCAAACCGTGGACTCCAACAAGTTCAACAACACATCGAGACTCTTGGAGGTTTTCATCTTTTCTGCTGTGAATGGCCCAGGAGTTTCCACCAAGTCATTGTGGATATCACCAAAGTGAATATTTGTCCAGGTAGTTGGCGATTCTAACCAGAAATTCAGTTTGGTCCACGCTTTGTAGGGGTTGAAAAGGGTGATTTGGCTCCATCGATGCTTATGACCAATTTCTGGTCAAATGTTCTTGGGTCCTCTGCCGTTAGAGTAGATAAATAACCGGGATCAATACCCTTTACGTGCTTTCTCGCTCCGTCCGTCATGTTGAATTAGTGTTTATTGCCGCCAACAATGAAACTCGCCTATACTTTCAGTAAGTGGTTGACTGGTTCTGAATTGTAAATCTCTTACTTTGGCAGTGGTAGAGGTGATCAGGTTGACTCTTTGGTCGGCTTTACGCAGCTCATGGTGACTCGCAGAACCATTCGTGAAGATCTCGACTCCATCCAGACTCATGTTAATGTGAGGACTGTGTGAAAAGATGCACAAGAAAATATAAATATCATTTATATGGTTTATACCTCTGTAATTGCTAAGCATACCCACTGAATGAACAAAAGTTAATTAATAATTATTCACAACAGCTTCAGAATGTGGGGCCATTATTCAACCCCAAAGACGTGATTATTGTCGGCTGCAGTGGCATGAAGTCATAAGATCACTATAGGTGTAGTTAATATGATTGAGATTCAGGAGCAGGACCATGCCTCAACCACCTGTCCTCTCCTCCTCACCAACAAACCACAACTCACTTCGACCACACCTCTAATTTCCCAGAAGCCTATTTGTAGCAGCCTTTCCCATCATCCCAGTTTGTCTCAGCTAACTGGACTCCACCCTCCCGCTTCCTATCGTGTTCGTCTTTCAGCCGTAAGATACCTACAAGTGGGGTCCCGTTCCGGCTGGGCCAATTGAAGATTGAGCCGGAGCCCCCACCTAGAGTCTCAACCCAGCCATCATTATCAATAAACTTCTTCTTCACTCTGTGTTGTTGTTGGTGTGGTCCTTGCTAGTGAATCATTGTTTATTCAGCCAATCCCTAACAGATCATAGAGTCACACAGGCCCTTCCCCTGCCTCTGAAATTATGACATCAGCTAATTCAGGAACATAACATATTTACAGTTGCGTCCCCTACTGGTCCTGACCTGTTTGGATTCCACAGCTCCTGACAGATCTCAGAGCCGATACACGTGTCTTTAGTGGAGAGCACACAGTCACCAAACGGCACAGTTTCCTAAAGATAAATCAAGATAATTAACAGGTTTTATTTCATTTTGGATTTATTTGATGTCCATATATATTGAATAAATGTACCAGTACCTGTCCAGTTACTTCTTGAATCATTCGGGGAAGAAAATAATCTTCAACCTGCCTTAAAAGAAAAAAAAAGTCAACACCAACTGAGAAGTAATCATTTCTAATTAAGGATAATTGGCCCAGTAAATAATAGTCAGTGCCTTTCAGACGTCCATCACTCACACATGACACACTGTATTCATTCATACAAACTCAGTGTGGTTGAAGTGTCTTGCCTAAGGACATGATGACATCATGCACTGGTTGGAGTTATAATCAGAGAAAGGCATTTTAATATTTATCTAGAACAGGGGTGTCAAACTCATTTTTTCGTCTGTGGGCCGTATCCAACCTACTTTGATCCCAAAGGGGCCGGATCAGAAAACTCCTGGCATATATACCCCAAAAATAACAATAAATTCAAATATTTGTGCAGAGAAACACAAATCTATTACAGAAATCTTTTTTAAAATAAAAAAAATACTATTATTATTTCAAAAAAATTATAATATTATGAACAACCTGAAACTTTAAGAAAAATGTAATTTCAACACAATGTTTTAACATTAACTTGAATGCAAATAGGAATAAGTAAATTTTTCTTGGAAAATCCTGCACTCGGCTCCACTGTTCTAATTTTTGACATTTTGCTGATGAGGGTGTCACGGTCAACAGTCAAAACAATTTAAACAATTTCCTTTAAGAGCGTTTGGAAAAAGGCAAGTCTTCATTTGTGCTGCTCTGGTGGGAGGGGCCACGTACAGAGACGCTGGAGACGCTGATATGTTAAGCAGCGCAGAAAATTACCAATATTTTAATAGAAAATAAAATGTAAATATTTTAGTAGAAAATCAGCAAAGGGCCAGATTAAAGGTCTTGGACGGCCGGATCCTGCCCCCGGGCCTTATGTTTGACACCCCTGACCTAGAATCATTAAAAAAAAAAAAAAAAAACACTATTGACTCTTTACGGGTGCTTTTGAGGAGGCCACGATGGACGAGTGCGACTGAAATGTTTGTTACTGCTCGAGTGAACACTTTGCAAGCTGCACTAACAATTTTAATGTACAGTTTTATCTGCAGACTGAACAAATCAGACAATGAAATAATAATGTCACTCACAAATATGAGATTCAGTGCAATAAGAGATCAGTCCAACATGTGGAGACACTGGTGTGGTTGTCTTTTAAAAACATGAATGTTTATTATTTTGTATTGTCACTGTCCTTGTCTGTTTTTTAAATGGACCGTGAGTCTGGAATAAAGATGATGATGATGATGATGATGACTACTGTTCAGACTAGGGTTGTCAAAAAAACAACACAGTCGCTCATTCACAAGGTTTTTTTTACTCACATACAGTAAATAAGACAAATTTTGACTCAACATCAGAAATAGTATAGGCCTGTAAGTTTAGGAAATTCAAATTTACATTATTTTGTTTTAAAAATGTATTATTGTCATTGTGGCATCAAAAGTGGTATCTAGTATTAAGCCTTTTCCGTTGTATAAATCATGTTTAAATGTTAGTTCTGTCACAAATCTGATTCAGACCTGGTTTGGTTCCAGGGGGAGAACCAGCGCAGCTCTCTGTGCACTCCGACATTGGCCATCGACATCTTTGGCCTGATCAGAAGAATCTTCCTACAACAATTAAGTAAAAGGGAATTAACACTTGTAATTATGTAAAACGGTCAAAGTAAAGCAGGAAAGTCAAGTCTGACCTGTTGAGGAAGATGACTCTGCAGTTGTAGCGCACATTGTGATGCATGATGGGCCTAAAACAACAACAACAAAACATAAAATTATCATAGTACAATTCTGTTTACATTTTTTATAAACAAATGTAATAAAATATCATTGGCCCCAGGGGGAAAGTAACTCTCTCATTTTTAGTTGTAAGTGAATTTAACTAAACCACACCAGTACTCACATGCCCACGTCACAGATGATGTCCTGAGTGACCTGGAGACTCCAAAAGTTTTTGTAGAACCTCAAAACTGTGCAGCAAAGTGTCAGACTCATAGTAATGGTCCGCGCAGCCGTAACCACTGAAACACAGACAGACAAATGAACAGAGAATCAACAATAACTGACAGACAGAAAACTAGAGGTAAACTTTTCTAACCCCTGGTATTATTATGTTTCATTATGTGCGTTTTAATCAAGTCTGCGCTTCAAATTCATAATTGTGATGATAGGTGCACTTGTTCTACCTTGCAAAACCTGGACCAAAGACACTTTATCTACAAAAATTTGTACAAATAATTACTAATAAAATATATTATACTTTCTGTACAAGTTAATTTTGACATTATAGAGGTAATCAACTGAAATGACCAAGATTTAAATAGTGAACCAAATAATTATAATTATGTCAGATGAAGAAAAAGAGGTAGAGCGCTTCACTGGGTCTTAAAAGAGTAAAAAATAGCAATACAGGTGCTCTATCTACGAGGGTTAAAACAGTAGGCAAAAGTCACTTTGCCCTGACGAAGAACATCTTGTTGGTCGAAATGTGTTGGCGTCCCTTCATGCAATAAAGGATTTTTAATATATTCAGTCGAAGTGCCTCGGGTTTGTACCTTGCCCATTTTTACATTTTCCAGTAAGGGTAACTTTCTATTTAAAGACTAATCGTAATTATGATTTTTGCCAAAATCAGTGTGGTCCATACCAGTGTCACATGAAGAAATTTGAGACATTAATTGGTTTGAAGCTTAATTAATTCAGTGTGCAAGCAAAATATTAAGAACAATAATACTATATAGTTTAACAATAAATAAATAAAAAAATTACCATATTTCCAGCTCAGGTCCAAGTCTGTATTTGGCTCCCTTAGCTTTAGCAATTTCTATACCTGTACAACACAACATAAACAACCCACAGTTAAGACCTAAAAAGACCAAGTCGTTATAAAAATAATAACATATTTTTAATAACTTAACTGAGTAATGAAAGGTTATCAATAAATAAATAAATAAAATAAAATGTCAGGGTGGAATGAGACACAAAATCAATGAGATGATGAAATAAATAAATAAACAAATACATTAAAATAAATAATTAAATCTGCAGATCACCTAACATAAGATTATCAAACTATAAACAAGTAAATGTACATTTTGGAAAGAGCAGACAAACCCACATGTCACTTGAACGGTATGACATGATTCATTAATTAATTTGGAGGGTTAGGGTTAGTGTTTACTGTGTTTTTATTGGTAAAGGTGTGTATAAAATGAATAAAAATACATTACTAAGTGTTAAAAGGTACATAACATAGGCTTCACTGTAAAAGAAATCGATTTATGTTGCTTAACACAGTATTATCAAAGGCGTGTGACTTTTAAGTTATGCAACTCCTCCTGCTGCTCAAAACAAGTCTATTTTTGTCAGTTATATTCTATTCCCAAACTACACATACTTAACTTATCTTAGCCTTTATACCAACACATAAAAGTAAAAGTTTAAGTCACTTACTTTTCAGGATTCTCTCTAAGTTTCCTTCAAAGTCCAGAGCCCACTGATTCAAGGAGCACGTCGCTAATGTCACTTTACGTCCCATTTTCTTCACTCACGCGTCTAAAACTACAAATCTGAGGCTAAATTAAAAAGACGCGAAGTTAAAACAGCGCTGACAGGAGATTTAAAAGCTTTTTTTCAGGTCTAAAGAGGAGGAATGACTGGAGTAAAGTTGTCATTGAGGTAAAAGCATGAATGAAACGGCACAGTGGACTTCTTCTACAGGCTGCACAAAGGCGTGTTCACAGCTACAGCGCCATCTAGTGGGAATGTGTGGTAAGGTTTTTTTCAACACAAGGGGTCATCATACAGTTAAAGCAATACTTGAAACAAAATACCTTTACACAACAAAAGAAAAGACAATAAATTACAGCAGTTGGCAAATACAAAATGTAAACAACTAAAATCACATAAAAAAGGTTTCAGAAGAAGCACTTCCTGGGCCTCCAGAGGATAAGATGCAAAAAACCCAAGGCACTCACTGGTTAAAATAAAATGCCTTTATTAATTTATGGCATGTCTTAATGGACCCTAATGGACAACTTACAAAGTCCCTTTGGATTTTTTGGACTTCCATGACAGCAACCCATCTAATCTGCAGGTATAAGGAATTGATCATATACCAGACTCTTTGCGAAAAGGAAAAAGGATTGCAACACTCAAACAGTGTGAAACCTACTGGCACGGGCGGCATGGTGGCTGAGTGTCTAGCACTCCTGGGCCTTTCTGTGTGGAGTTTGCATGTTTCTCCCTGTGTCTGGATGGGCTTCCTCTGGGTGCTCTGGTTTCCCCCATCAACCCAAAACATGCTACAGGTTTCCAGGAAGAACAGTTGATAGTGAAGGCCAATTAAATCAATCAGTGAACCCGCCCAGAGACTATAGGTGGAAATTAGCACTGGTGCTAGTGGCGTGGTGGTGGTGGTGGCACCGATTGGCATGGCAGCCACACTTCTGTCAGTCTGCCCCAAGGCAGCTGTAGCTTATCATCTCCAAGTATAGAGCGAATGAATAATGCTCTGTAAAGTGTCTTTGTGAAAAAATATCTGTGAAAAGCTCTATATAAATAAAGACTTACTTACTTACAGGCAACAAAATATCCTGAACTCAATGAAGATTTGGGCTTCTCTGTGTTTTATAACTGAATGGTATTTTTTGTATATATTTTATATTTTTGTAAATAATACATTTTTATATACCCTTTGTCCCACTGTTTTAACACTGCCATCTTGTGGAGTTATCAGGTGGTGTCCACAGGTGCAACTCCACTCCTTGTCTTCTAGGTGGAGCAGCCGTATTGTTGGGTTTTTTGTATTTAATTCACATGGTTTGCTCTCAATTCTGTTTGTCCCCTGTGCACTGTTTCACAATACTCCAACAAACCCACTTGTATCACAAAATAATGAAGCATCAGTTTTAATACAAAGCATGAAGTTTATTTCTCTCAAACATGCAGGTGTATATGACACTGTAAACTGTTTGGCTACAAAGCTACTGAAGGCAACTGATCATTACAGATCCTGTGTACGTGATATACAGTCTGTGGCCTTAGAAAAGAGTTCGTCTGGACTACGATGAAAAGTGATTTAGCGAAGCAGTGACACACAATTTAAAGGAAAACTACGCAACTTTTTTGGGTGCAGCGTAAGCCAAATGCCTTGAATGTTCCACACTACGGCATTAAACATGTAGCTCTCCATGGAAATACGCAGATGACGCACCAGGCCAACTGAACTTAATGAAATAAAAGCTACATATATGCGTTTAATGCCATATTGTGGAACATTCTGGCAAAGCAATAACAAATCCATGAAGAAAGCATGCGGAAAAGTTACGTAGTGCACCTTTAAAGCCAAAAACGTGTTGAAAATCGAACTGTGAAAAAGTGTGCTCATTTCACATTAACATAAAATACAATGACAAGGCAAGAATCCCGCTTTCAAACTTTTACAATTTCCCCCAAATCACGCGAAGAATAAATAAAATAAGTTATGTACAAGTCCAAAAAGTGGCTTAAAGTGTAACACAAAGCTCTTACAGTTTCAATTCTGACAAACATATGCGTATAGCCCTGTCGAAAAGTCAAAAAGGCAACATAAATATAAAATGTACATTAGATTTCCAGCATTTTTAACCAATATTAACAATCCAAGAATGTCTCAAAGTGGTACCATACTAAATATTGTGCATCGGATCATAATTACGATGAAATGGTGGCTCAATATCGCCCCCAAGTGAGTGAACGTGAAAGCAGAATGTATGAAAATCGATAGAAACAATGGTGCAGTGGGTTAAGCAGTCGCCAATGGACCAGAGAAATACAAATAAGGACTACATTTCCCAGGTTTTCAAGGAATTAACTGATAGTGTAAATGTAAAAATTGGCTCAACGGCAAAACTGGCACATGAAATGGTCCAAAATGTTTCCAAATGACTGAAGACACACACAGCTGTACATCCAATTTCACTTCAATTATTTAAAATGTTTCTTCTCAAAATTGAAATGGAGAGAGTTCTGTCCAAGGCATGTTTTACAAATCCTTACATAAACCTAGAGAGTACTGTAGTTATGAAGTACACTGTGCTGATATCCATTTTAGTCCTGGTTTAGTCCTGGGTTTAGATCTGGTTTAGTTTGTGGAACTAAAAAAATCATAATTAGATTAAGATGGTTAAGTTCTGGTCCAGGTTAAACCAGAGTCCAACTGGTTTAATCATATATAACTTCAGTTTGGAACTGGTTTGGTGCCAGTTTAATCCAAACTTTGTCCTGATTAGATCTTGGTTTAGTCCTTGTTTAAGTTTGGTCCTGATTTAATTATTATTTGGTCCAGGTTTACTCCAAATTTAGTCCAAGTTTAGGTTTTGTTCTGTTTTAAATTGTGATCTGAGATTAGACCTGGTTTAGTCTGAGTTTTCTCTTAATTCAAAAATGTTTTGGTCTGGGTTAGGTCCTGGTTTAGTCCTTGTTTAAGTTTTTTTTCAGATTTAATTATTATTTGGTCCTGGTTTAGTCGATTTTTAGTCCAAGTTTAGGTTTAGTTCTGTTTTAAGTTTAAATCTGAGTTTAGACCTGGTTTAGTCTGAGTTTACTCTTAATTCAATCCTGTTTTAGTCCAGGTTAGGTCCTGGTTTAGTCCTGGTTTAAGTTTGGCCCTGATTTAATTCTTATTTGGTCCTGGTTTAGTCCAAGTTTAGTCCTAGTTTAGGTTAAATTCTGTTTTAAGTTTTACTCTGAGACTATTTAGACCTGGTTTAGTCTGTGTTTTCTCTTAATTCAATCCTGTTTTAGTCCAGGTTAGGTCTTGGTTTAGTCCTTGTTTAACTTCGGTCCAGATTTAATTCTTATCTGGTCCTGGTTTTGTCCAACTTTAGTATTAGTTTAGGTTTGGTTCTGTTTTAAATTTTAATCTGAGATTAGATCTGGTTTAGTCAGAGTTTACTCTAAATTCAATCCTGTTTTAGTCCAGGTTAAGTCTTGATTTAGTCCTTGTGTTTGGTCCTGATTTAATTTTTATTTGGTCGAAATTTAGACATATTAGTCCTATCTTAGTCCTGGTTAAATCCAAATTAAGATTTTGAGAGTTTTAAATTCAGTGTTAGTCTGAGGCTATGCAGTCCTGATTTAGTCCTGGGTTAGTCCTAGTTTAATCCTGGTCTAGTTGTAGTTTAGTCCTGTCTTCATCCTAGTTTTGTTACATATACAGTTTTGTCTTGGGTAAATCCTGGTTTAGTTCTGCCTTTAGTCTTGTTTTAATCTTGTATGTTATTTCAGGACCTGTAATCCTAATTTCGTCCTGGGTTAGTCCTGGTTTTAGGCCTGTTTTAGTCCAGTTTTGTCAAATATTAGTTATGATTTAGTCTGATTTAGTCCAGATTTGATCCTGGTTTAGCCCTGGTTTATCTTTGTTACACATTAGTCCTGGTTTGATCTTTAGTCTTGGTTTAGTTCTGCCTTACTCTTGTTTTAATTTTATATGTTAGCTCATCCTGTAAACCTGATTTAGTCCTGGATTCATCCTATTTTAGTCCTGGTCTAGTCCAAGTTTAGTCCTGTTTTCATCCTAGTTTTGTTACATATTAGTCTTGAATAAATCCTGGTTTAGTTCTACCTTTAGTCTTGTTTTATTCTTGTATGTTATTTCAGAACCTATAAGTCTGATTTTGTGGGTTAGTCCTAGTTTTAGTCCTGTTTTAGTCAATTTTTGTCAAATATTAGTCCTGGTTTAGTCTGATTTAGTCCAGATTTGATCCTGGTTTAGCCCTGGTTTATCTTTGTTACACATTAGTCCAGGGTTGCTCCTTAGTCTTGGTTTAGTTCTGCCTTAGTCTTGTTTTAATCTTATATGTTAACTCAGATAATGTAATTTAGTCCTGGATTAGTCCTATTTTAGTCCTGGTCTAGTCCAAATTTAGTCCTGTTATATCCTAGTTTTGTTACATATTAATCTTGGATAAATCCTGGTTTAGTTCTGGGTTTAGTCTTGTTTTAATCTTATGTTATTTCAGGACCTACAATCCTCACTTCATCCTGGATTTGTCTTAGTTTTAGTCCCGTTTTAGTCCAGTTTTGTCACATATTAGTCCTGGTTTAGTCTGATTTAGTCCAAATTTGATCCTGGTTTAGATCTGATTTAGTCCTGACATTCATAATAAACACACATTTATTTCAAACCTCAATTTTTCCATGATACATTTCCTACACAGCCAATATTGTAATGACATTTTGTGCGTTTTGTCGACCTCCTTTTGCTCTCCGTTGTCGTGTTTATTGTCGCATGCACCGGCTGCTCCTCTGTGTCCGTGGATGTGGCGTTCAAAGTCACGTAAAACAGTTTTTTTTTTTGTTTTTTTTTTTTGTGGGTGAGGGTGGGGGGGGGGTAAAGTGGGCGGGGTCACTGTCCGGAGAAGGTGGCGTAGTGGTTGGGAGACTGTAGGGTGCTGATGTGGGGCTGGGACTGAGTGTGCAGACTGGACAGAGGCAGAGTGGAGTGACGTTTGACCGACAGCCGAGTGGTGAGGAGCTCGTCATCGACAGAATCACCTGAGGAAACAGAAAAAAAAGTAAAATAAAATAGGACATCATAAAAAAAAAAAAAAAAAACGTAAAATAAAAAAAATGAATAGTGATATCTGTAAAATATTCTGTCCATCTGACTATTTATTCTGGTGGAGGTGTCAACTTCTTGTCTCCATGGAGATGTTATTATTCAGCTTGGAATGTTCCACAGTATGGCATTTAACTTATTCATCTTCCATTTATTCAATTATACACATTTATTTCAAAATATCTATCTATCTATCTATCTATCTATCTATCTATCTATCTATATCTAATAACAAAATATTTCAAATTCTTGTAGACAGATACAGCCCTCCACCAGAAAAGTTACATAATCCGCCTTTAAAAACAGCAATACACTCAAAACTAAGGGCGTAGGTTTGCATATTGACGGTGTGGACATGTCACGACCAATATTTGGGGAAGACAAAATAGTCCCTACCAATATTTGCCATTTTATTTGAATAAACAAAAACATAAATGTATTCAGATATTTTTCCAAACTCAATAGTATTAGTTTAACACGTTTTAGTTCACATTTTGTTTATTAGACGTTCTGAGATGTATTCAGTGATGTGACGACAGGGTTACACCTGCCGCTGTTTCATTGGCTGCAGCAGAGTGATGTCATTAGTGGAGCCAGGAGCCTAAACTGGGGAAGCGGCAGGACAGGGCCGCACCTGAAGATGGGGGTTTGAGCAGACGTGAGTGAAGATGTTGCACCAAACTTTGAAAAACTTAATCTTCAATTAAACTTTTCTTATAATGAGTCGCCGCGGAAAAAGAGCGACAATCACCACAAGTGCACCTCCCAAACAGAGCCCTACTCGTGCGCTGTGAGCAGTCGGACTATTGACAATATTCCATGGAAAAATGTTTGGACATGACCTCACAAATATCTCATCACCAACAAGTAAAGGGAAATCTGCTACAAACTTCTACATCACTGTTATCCACTAAAGAACCATCTTAGAAGGGCAATGGACACAAACAGAAAAATGAAACCACCTCTCACTTATTTTGGACCTGCCCAGACTCTGAGCTGATAATGTCCCCACCAAAGCTGAGACCAAACCTACGCCCTTGCTCAAAACTGAATCAAACCATTAGCTGGGATGTATTAGACCAGACCTGGACATTGTACAGCTCCTCAGCCACATACAGTCCTTTGGTTGACTCTAACCAGCCCTTTTAAGATAATTTGGAATTACAAAATAAACATAATTTACAATTTTACCTCATGCATTGACTAAAGCTGCATTGATTTTTGTTGTTTTGTTTTTTAATTACATTTTTTGTAAGGCAACCTCACTTTTTCATTACTTAGTCATAAACTCTTACCAGTCTTACCATCTTGTCAAAACAAGCTATTTACTGGTTTTTATTAAGAAATATAATTCATAATATGCAGAATTGAGTTAAGCATTTTAGCCATCCACAGTATTTTCTTTTTCTCATGTGGCCCCATGGAAAAAATAATTGCCCACCCCTGCATTATACTCAGGGCATCTCATAATAAAGAGCCCAGTTTGGCTTTAATGCAAACTGTGCAGCTGTAACTTCTCATCAGCAGTGAGAGGTCCATACCGCTCTGGTTTCCGGTGATGTGATGCCAGTAGGCAGAGCGGGGCAGGATGGCTGTGGGGGTGCAGGGGTACGAGCCCGTCTCTGAGCCTTTGGACAACAACTACAGACAAAGAAAAGAGATATGCATGAGAAAATACTTTTAAGTTTAAGTCTTTAGTCTAAAAAATTCTATATAAAAGTATTAAACTGACCCTGGTGCTCTTCTCCATCTCCAGCAGGACCCTCTTGTGCTGCTCGGCGATGGCCAGTGTGGCGGAGTGCACCCTTTGGTAGATCTGCTCTCCTTCTCTGGTCTGGAACGTGTACAGACCCTCTCCACTGTCACACATCCTGAGAGGAAAAGAGTTAAACCAGTCAACAGAACATATATATGTAAAACTTTATATTGTAAGCTCCCAAAATTCAAGATTTGAACCCAAGACCTAACCTAGGACGAGTATAAAGGTATTGATTAAACTGTAGGGGTGTGCTGTGGCAGGATCGTCACTAGAGGGCAGTGTTGGTCTTTCAGTCTCTCCCTCATTCGTGCTGAGAAAATTACAATTTTGTGTGACAAAAAACTATATTTAAAGAATACGCAGTTACAAGATATAATAACTTTATAAGTTTCATATCTTTATATCTGCATAAGTTTGAAGTCCTCAAAATGGTGTCCATAAACAGGAAGTTGAACCAAGAGAGCAGGGGTGTCAAACTGAAATTCACAGAGGGACAAAATTAAAATGTTATTGTTGATTTTTCTCTGTTAAATTTATGGTGTCACCTGCCTAGGGACTACAGATGAAAATTAGCATTCTTGCTATAATCTGTCATATTTACACTGCAGTGTTGTAGATGTTCATTAATATGCACTGTTCCTATTAAATAAATACATAAATAAATAATTAAATACTGGAACTAAGCCATGGGCCAAACTAAATATTTAGTGAAAAATTTCAGCAACATCTGCATGTTCGCTTCTTTCAAGATATGTAATGTTAAATCTTTTCTTATTAAAATAAATGTTAATAAATAATAGTGTATATAAATAGTTTTGCTTAAACACTGAATCAAGAACAAGCATAATATAAAATAATAACACAATTTTAAATAAATAATGTCTCTATACTCTATCTGTAGCCAGTGGGCAGCTCTAATACATTTTTGATATGATCTCGTGGGCCAAATATAATTATATCGCGAGCCAAATTTGGCCCCCGGGCCTGAGTCTGACATGTCTGCAGTAGAGCATTTTAAATATACTGTTCTACTCAGCTGATCTTTTTGAGTGTAGACAATTCCCTCTTCTCACCCCAACTTCAAGAGATTGTAAAAAGTGATCCCCTGATACTAATCAATACTAAAACTAGTATCAAATCTAAAAGTATCCATACTGACAAAAGTTACAAACACAGGACAAAACTGAACTTGATTTTGCATAACAAGGATCATATAGTATTATACTGATACCATGAGGAGGGTTTGAATAGGCCCTGGAAGAGATCCCTAGATTACTCAAACATTTTTGATGAGGAACAACATTATAAGACGGCAGAAAATTCCAAAAAGACGATGTCACATAATATTCCCTGTTTAAAACCATGACAGCATTACTCACCGTCCTGCCTCGAAGGTGAAGCGTGTGGCGTCTCTCCCGTAGCGGCGCAGCGAGCACAGGGGCCATGTGACCAGTTTGGAGCGCGGGTTATGGACGTCCCACAGGTAAATGTTCTCGTGAGTGATCTGCATCATACACTCTCCGTATATGTCCAAGTTTGGGCACGGCAACAGGAACACGTTAAACCGCTCTGAGAAAAGAAAGGATAAAGGAGTTATTATAGTGTTTTTTTGTAATGTTTCTCATGAGGAGGTATTTTACTTCTATGGGGTATCAGCTGCTAACACATTACATATTTAGAGCACATGGAAATGCTATATTTGCTGAAAACAATGTATTTTAACATGTTTTATAACTTTATTAGTGGGAAGAGCAGAGGTGGGATCAAATTGTCGTTTTGCAAGTCTCAAGTTAGTCTCAAGTCTTTAATCTCAAGTCCGAGTCGAGTCCCAAGTCAAATACAGTCAAGTCCAAGTCGAGTCTCGAGTCACTGGCCCATAAGTCCAAGTCAAGTCCAAGTCGTCTGCTTTGAGCTTCAAGTCATTTCAAGTCTTTAAACCAAAGTACCAAATATAGCTTAGATTTTTGCAATTTATATACTTTTTAAACTAAATTCTCCTCAAAAAGTCATGGTATATTTATACATGAGTATTTATCTAAGAGTTGTAGAAATGCAAATTTTTCCTTTTTAAATGTCTTGAGAGTACAAGAGGGCAAATTATTACCGTCAGAAAAGAAAGAGTTAAGATTTAATGCTTAATAACAGTTGTCAACTAGTCTAAGCGTCAAGTCCTCTCAAATCCAAGTCAGGTCCCAAGTCATTGACCTTCAAGTCCAAGTCGAGTCCCAAGTCTTTGTCTATTTTGTCAAGTCAAGTCTCAGGTCCTAAAAATAGTGACTCAAGTCTGACTCGAGTCCAAGTCATGACTTGCAAGTCCTCAACTCTGATAAAAACATTAATACAATTGCTGAAAATAAAACACTATGAAAGCTCATATTGATCACAGGCTCCTGAAAATGTGTTGTTTAAATCCACTTGATCTTTTTTGCTAATGTGTGCATTGTGTCTCCATGGTAACTGCTGAATATTCCACCGTAGATACACATGTAGAACACCCACCACCTTGTCACTACAAAGTATTAATAGGCTCTATTCACATTACGTTACAAACCAGGAAGACGTTTGGAAACATGCAATGGCAACTTCCGGTGTAGCTCCCGACACTGGGCTCACCGACCGACTGTGATCAAAACCCACTGAAGTAAATGTGATCAGTGGTAAAATGAAGACTGTATACGTATGTACTGTTTGGAATCATCAACTGAGGTTTGATTGTAATTGTTGATTTGCCGAACATAACGGAACGCTACAATGGCATGGAGATGAAGAAAACTGGGCCTGGGAAGTTGTAATCGCATGTTTCCAAACGTCTTCCTGGTTTGTAACGTAAGCGTTTATTGATGCACAAAGATAAATGAATAGATAGTAAACAATACTGTGTACTTTCTCAGTATCACACCTACACACTATAGAGGTTGGTTGTACCTGTGTGTTCACACTGGACTCCGGCCGCCAACAGGTCCGGCTCTCCCAGACTGATGTCATTGAGTCGAGAGCCCAAACACTCGATGGACAAAGTCTTAAACCAGTCCTCTGCCTCCAGCTCTGAGGAAACACGAACAGCATCACAAAATCTGTCAACAACTTTCTCATCAGAGCAGATATTCCCAAAATCTGCAGAGTCACAGCCCCACTCTTCCTTTTTTTATTTATTTTTTTTGTCTGATCCAAATATCACACAGGACTCCCCAATGACACTCAAATCTCTATTCACAAGAGTCAAGATTTTCTGTTTCTTAAGTTAAAGGTGCACTGTGTCACTTTTTGGTTGTGGGTCCGTCACCCGCTTGTTTCTATGGATATGTCATTGCTCTGCCTGAAATGTTCCACAGTGTGACATTAAACAGCTCTACCTTACATTTATTCAATTACAGATCGTTAAAAAAATATTTCATCAAAATTCTGAATGTGAGCAGGGTCGTCTCTCCACAGATCTGACCTGTAACTTGGTCTAGTTTGGTGTCCATGGTGATAGAAAGCAGAGATGGGACCAAGTTGTCGTTTTGCAAGTCTCAAGTAAGTCTCAAGTCTTTGACCTCAAGTCTGAGCCAAGTCCCAAGTTAAATACAGGCAAGTCCAAGTCGAATCTCGAGTCACTGGTCCACAAGTCCAAGTCAAGTCCAAGTCGTCTGCTTTGAGCTTCAAGTCATTTCAAGTCTTTAAATCAAAGCACCAAATATAGGTTAGATTTTTAAGCTAAACTGAACTTTAAAAAGTCATGGTATTTTTATATATGAGTATTTATATAAGAGTTGTAGAAATGCAATGTTTTTCCTTTTTAAATGTCTTGACAAGAGGGCAAATTATTTCCGTCAGAAAAGAAAGAGTTAAGATTTAATGCTTAATAACAGTTGTCAACTAGACTAAGCGTCAAGTCCTCTCAAGTCCAAGTCAGGTCCCAAGTCTTTGTCTATTTTATCAAGTCAATTCTCAGGTCCTAAAAATAGTGACTCAAGTCTGACTCGAGTCCAAGTCATGACTAGTCAAGATCTTAGTGCGACTCATTACATTCAGAATAGAAAATCTTCTCAAGGCACAGGGCTCAAGTCCAAGTCGAGTCCCAAGTCTTGGTCTATTTTATCAAGTCAAGTCTCAAGTCCTGATAAACAGTGACTCAAGTCTGACTCGAGTCCCAACCTCTGATAAAAAGGTTTAATACTGTACTGTGCAACATTCTAGACAAAGCAATAACATCGATAACCTCCATGAAAAATTTGAATTCACGGACCCTCCACCAGAAAAGTTACACAATGTACCTATAAAGTACTACAAGTACATGCAACATTTATGTTAAACTGAATTTCTTTTATATGCTTGTTGTCCAGGCAACCTTTGCAGTATCTTTGAGGTCCCCAGTTTGAGAAGCACAGTGTTATATTAGAGCATGTATCCTGTGACACATGGAGCAGGTGCAGTTCGTGTGTATTCTACCGTTCGTCAATACTCTTAGGAATGTATTAGCTCACAGGACATTTACATCAATACAACACTGTGATTAATAACAGTTTTTGCACTCAAGCTGCTCCAAGAATTTCATTATGTCTTATAATTTACAATATAAATATGTTTAGAATCAAGCGGCACTGTCTTTTGTTGTTACAATTTTCAAGCCAGTCAGAAGTTAATTATATCACTGTGCATTACTATTGTTACAATTTTGCTTCTGATCATGATAAATTACACAAATACACAAGCAATATTACAGTGTATAAAGTGACTAGTGAGATTAAAAAGTTACATACTGCGACTCTAGACAAAAAATACACTAATATAGAATGTTTTTAGCATGTCATGTTTATTTTTTATAACAAACTACCATATTTTTCGGATTATAAGTCACACTTTTTTCATGGTTTGGGTGTTTCCTGTGACTCGTACTCTGGAGCGACTTGTATATTAAAATTTTCACACTGACAGTCGTGAGAGGCTCTAGGCTTGTGTGTCAGTATCTGCTGCTCCTGTTACTCCTGCACCACTGTCACGTCACTCTACTGCGCATGTCTCCTGCAGAAAGAGCTGCTGCAAGTAGTGAAATATTCAGCCGAAAACAGTAATCGAGCAGCAGAAAGAAAGTTTGGAGTGAGCGAGAAACTTGTGAGGGACCGGCAGAAAGCGGGGATGAAGAACACAGCTTTATGGGAATCGGGAGGGTGCACCATGCGAATTTCCTGAAGTCATTGGATGGATCGACAAAACCTGGACTTCAGTGACACCAAAACCATCCTGTCGGGATTCAGAAAGGCCAGAATAATTTTAACTAGAACTGATGCTGAGTCTGACGACAGCTACACAGAAGAAGTGACGCTCCGTTTACAGCTTTGATCTATGCTTTACCTCCAGAGGTCGCGGAGTTACTCAGAAGTGACACCGAGGATGAAGAATTGAATGGATTAAGTGATTTGGAGTGAGATGGAGAGTTTGGTAAACTTTTTATGTTATAGTTTATCTGAAGAACTGTTCATATGTGACATTAACAGTCTGTTGTTCTCTGCTCTTGACTTTCCAGATGAAATGTCGGTTCCTGGTCTCTGATTTCATAAAATAAATTTCCCACAGGAAGTGTAACTTATATAAGTTTTTTTTCTTCATTATGCATTTTTTGGCTGGTGCGACTTATACTCTGGATGGACTTATAGTCTGAAAAATACGGTAATAAAGATTCTAAACATTTCTCTTTCCATGGAATTGTGACGTGCCACTTTCAGAAAGTTACATAATGTTCCTTTAAATGTTTTAAATTTAAGGGTCCATGTTATGCTATTCTCTGATCTATGTTATAATATTGTTTACTCATCACAAACATGCCTGGAGTTGTGTTTTGTTTCATTCACACACATTTAACACATGAACCCTGCAGATTTAGACTGTGTTTTTTTTTCTCAAACTGAAAACACTCTGTTCCACTTTGTTGTCACACGGTAATACAGGAAGTCTTCCAGTGTGTTTGTAAACTAAATGCACCTTCACTAGAATCATTTGGATAATTTCAGCCCTGGATTTGCCAATTTCAACTAAACAAAAAGTAAAAGGTAGCTGTTAACATGAAAACTACCAACACATGACATCACACGGTGGAACAGAGCATTTTGAGCTTTGGAGATGCAGACAGAGTGGTAATAAAGGTTTACTCAAACATTTGTGAATAAAACAAACACACTCCAGGTTTGTTTATGAGGAGGTAACAACATTATAACATGTCTTAAAGCTCACAAGAGTCATTTTTGTGTAATATAGGACGTCTAAAGGCTAAAATATAGTTCTTGTTGCTATGAAACCCAGGCTCTTACCAGATTCACAGGTGAAGGTCCTCGAGGTGTCGTCTGTGAAAACGATGGCTACGGCCTGTCTCTTGGTATCCCTCGGCAACCGCGTCACATTTTTGACATTACTGATTTCTGTCACCTGGAAAACACACACGGGAGAAACATGAGTCAGCTCCCTCTGCCTTTTAGTGTAATCAGAGTGAGACGGTGGAACAATGCTGGGACAAATGTTTCTCGATGTATAGATGTATACAGGTATAGTTCCATGTGTCTCTTTTTAAAAACACAATAACTATTTTACACAAGCTGCTGTTGCTGCTGGACAGAAACAGAAATGTAAATCTAGACAGAAACAACAAGTTACAGATACAGATGACAGTCACAAACACCAGCTCCTGTGTCCCAGGAGGGAGAGAGAGAGAGAAAGAATGAGAGAGAGAGAGGAAAGACAGAGACAGAGGGAGAGAGAGGAGGAAGAGAGAGAGAAGAGAAAGAATGAGAGAGAAAGAGAGAGAGAGAGAAGAAAGAGAGAGGAGAGAGAGAGAGAGAGAGAGACAGAGAGAGAAAGAATGAGAGAGAAAGAGACAGAGGGAGAGAGAGGAGGAAGAGAGAGAGAGAGACAGAGAAAGAATGAGAGAGAGAGAGAGAGAGAGAAGAGAGAGAAGAGAGAGGGAGAGAGAGGAGGAACAGAGAGAAAGAATGAGAGAGAAAGAGACAGAGAGAGAGAGAGAGAGAGAGAGAGAGGGAGAGAGAGAGAAAGGAAGAGACAGAGACAGAGAGGAAAGAAAGAGAAAGAGTGAGAAAGAGAGAGAGAGAGAGAAGGAGAGAGAGTGAGAATGAGAGAGAGGGAGAAAGAGTCAGAGAGAGAGAGAAAAGAGAGAAAAAAGAAAGAGAAAGAAAGAAAAAGAAAGAGAGAGAGAGACAGTGAGAGAGAGAGAGAAAGAGAGAGAAAGACAGGAAGAAAGAGAGTGAGAGAAACAGAGAGCGAAAGAGAGAAAAAGAAAGAGAAAAAGAAAGAGAGAAAGAAAGAGAGGAAACTAAGAACTATGGCTCTATTTTGACACAACATTAAATTTAATTAACTCAGAATTACAATATGGCTACATTTATACATTGCGCATTACGATCCTGACATGTCTTAAATTAGGGATGCACCGATACTGATACTGGTATCGAATATCGACTGAAATATTTGCTGGGCTGAGTATCGGTGTCACCTTCATACGAAGCTGTTCAGTGGTGATCTGAAGAAACAATAACAGTTTCATAACACAATGTAATAAGTTAACTGTGTTTTAAGGAAATAAGAACCACTTTACGTCACTACACTGGCATTGGATATGGCTGGAGGAAGTGTCCGGGGTGAAGGAAGCCTGGGAGTCCCTGCTTAAACTGCTGCCCCCTACGACCCAGCCCTGGATAAAGCGGAAGAAAATGGATGAACGGATGGATGAATATTGGAAATCAGCAGCTACATAAAGCCAAAGTATTGATATTGGAAGAGCCTAAAAAGCCGTATCAGTACATCCTTATCTTAAACATAAACATTCAGCATCGCCAACTTCTATCGGCTAGAATAAAAAGAAAATGGAGAGATAGATGCATGGCTGAAGTGAGGGACACTTTAATGCCTCTCTGTAGGAAATGTGCTTCTTTGTTTTCCTGCAAACTGCTCATCTGGGAATTAGACTTAGACTTAGACAACCTTTATTGATCCACGAGGGAAATTATTTGCACACAGGAGCTCACACATCACAATATAATGTAATAATAACGAATAAAAAATATAAAAGGTCATAATAAATTCTAGAAAAAAAGATAGCAAGGAACTCTCCCTATGAGTAAGAAGTGCTAACCTTAGGGATGTAACAATATTTTAATCTCTCGGTACGATATTATCACAATATACATCTCACGGTTCGATATTTATTGCTATATTTTGGACATTTTGGACACTCTAGGACACTTTTTTGCTTTTAAAATACCTTGACAAGATTTTGGTGTGAATTATTTCCGTCATAATCGCAAGAATTCAAGTCAAAAACATATTTCTTCGTGTTGTTTGCACTGAAATGAATCATGGGATATGTAGTTTCCTATGTTTATAAGGCCCCGTCCACACTAGTACATATTCGAGTCGTTTTCGTCGTGGATGCAGTGTTCGTCTGCACTAATCCGAGGGAAAAGGGCTCCAGAGACGGAACGATCTGGTGCCGCCAGCTTCCATGAATACACCTGAGAACAGATCTGATCTGACACTGCGTAGACGCTTGAAAACGCTGATACACTGACGTAGGAGCTCTAGTTGCATCCTTATTTATTTTATTTATTTATTTATTATTTATTTATTGTACCATGAGCACCAGTGCTAATTTCCAGTGCAGGTTCAGTGCATTTAATTTACACTGTGAACCTTGGAAAATGAGATGTCATGTGATGATGAACACATGTTAAAAGAAACCATCGGCAAATGGGAAACAGTGGAGCTAGAACTATTTACACTGAACAGACTCACCATCAGCAGAACACCCCTCTGTCACAGAAAGAACACACATATATTCCACTGAGCTGTGTCCTTTTTTAGTCCAACAGAAGCTGAACCGCATCAGCGCACAATAGCGAGCTGTTTTTTGAGCGCTCAGTTTATATAAATTAGCCATGTGGTTTTAAGTTTAATTTCTGTAAAACGTAAACAAATATGCGTAAAGCTGTGTGAATAGGGAAGGCTTGCGGACACAGAAACGACATGTCTGGACACAAATAGTTTCCGATACGGTGATTTGTTTGCGGGTAAACATAACCTAAGATGTTGCTTCTATAAAACCATGCATTTAAGCAAAGAAACTTGTAATTCAATATATTGTGAAACTTTTGACGATACAATATCACCATATTTCGGTTATTGTTACATCTCTAGCGCAGAGTCCTGCACGGGACCACACCCGCCCGTTAACCTGTCATTTTATCAAAGGTAAACCTGCACCCGCCTGGACCCGTTAACATTCCACCCGTTACCCGCCTGTGCTCGTGATAAATCACACACACATTACAAGAATTCTAACTGAAGCATCCATCAGAATATGGATTGAAAAGTTACGACTTCAAGAATTACAATCACGAAATTAAATGAAATGGTTACACTTTTTTCAGTACGAACATGAATTCACAGACGCGACTCGGCTGTTATCACTTCACAGACTTTATTTACTGAGCAGAAGAAACATAGATCGAGATGCCGGACTTTTCCACTGCACATGCCACGACTGAACCAGGACTAAACCAGGACTAACCCAGGACTAATCTAGGACTGATTCCAGAACTAAACCAGGACTAAACTAGGACTACAACAGGACTAAAACAGAACTGAACCAGGACTAACCCAGGACTAATCTAGGACTAATCTAGGACTGATTCCAAAACTAAACCAGGACTAAACTAGGACTAAAACAGGACTAAACCAGGACTAATCTAGGACTGATTCCAGGACTAAATTAGGACTACAACAGGACTACAACAGGACTAAACCAGGACTAATCTAGGACTGATTCCAGAACTAAACCATGACTAAACTAGTACTAAAACAGGACTAAAACAGGACTAAACCAGGACTAAACCAGGAGTAACCCAGGACAAATCTAGGACCGATTCCAGAACTAAACCAGGACTAAACTAGGACTACAACACGACTAAAACAGGACTAAATCAGAACTAAACCAGGACTAACCCAGGACAAATCTAGGACTGATTCCAGAACTAAACCAGGACTAAACTAGGACTACAACAGGACTAAAACAGGACTAAACTGGGACTCAGTGTCAGGACGAGCTCGGAGGTGCATCCATGTCGCTGATCAGGTGACCGCAGGTGAAAGCAGCGCAGCCGTCACCCGATCGCACTTTGCGGACACCCTGCTCCACGGACTCGGGGTTCTCTCTCTCTCTTAAGTCTAAGATTAGTTCTGGTGTAGTCCTGGTTTAGTCCCGATTTAAGTCCTTACCCGCCCGTGTGTAATCACTACCCGCCCGTAAAATTCCAGAACGTTAAAACCCGCCTGTTTCAGCAACTGTTTGCCCGTGTCCAGGACTCTGCCCTAATTAACCTCTATGCAACAATGTCACTAAGTCCATATTTCCTTTTAATTTAGCCTAATAGTGATTGTTTCTTTCTGCTTTTCTCTTCAGGGCTGAACCAAGCACTTCATTTTTCATAGTAATATTAGCACCAGTTTTACATCAGATGCCCTACCTGCTGCACCTCTCTACATTTATTCTTCAGTCTTATTACCAAAGCACAAAGGGTACACGGGCTTGTCACTATATTGCTCTGTAGTTTCTTTCTTGTTTTGAAATGTGTTGTTTTTTTCTCAGCAGCTCCCAGAGAAACAGAAAAGTAAAAAAATGTCAAGGACTAAGACATCAAGGTCACACACAGTGAACTTTTGAAAGGAAAGTGTTTTGTAGCGACAGAGTTTTGGCCGAAGGGTATGTGTTTGTGTGTGTGTATGTGTGTGTTTGTGTGGGAGAGAGTGTGTGTGTGTGGGGGGGCAGACCTTGGGACAGGCTCTGATGTAGGCCGATTTCTCATCAGGATATTTCTCCAGACGACGAGGGCCTTTACTCGAAGACTTCTTAAACACCAGCCAACAGCGGCGATAGATCTGAAACGCAAAGAAGGAACGTATTTAAAATCTGTTATGCAACTGTGCCGGACTGATTCTGCGGAAAAAAGTGGAAAGGACAGGGGTGTAGTGGGCGGGGTACGTGGGGGCGCAGCGTTCACCCACTTCTCCCGACGTGAGATATAAAAAAATAACAAATATAAAATAGCTATAACTTAAATGTCAAACCGGAGCTTTGGTAATGGTGAAAAAAACTGCACAGGCTCATGATATTTGCACTACTGTCCTATAGTGACCTGAGACATGAGGAACCAGGACTAAACCAGGACTGAACCAGGACTGAACCAGGACTGAACCAGGACTGAACCAGGAGTGTCGGGACGGGCCCGGACTGATGCAGATGCGCCCGCTTGGACCTTTGGGTGACCGCAGGAGAAAGGACCGGCACAGAGCTCCGCAGAGTCCTGGTTTAGTCCAGGTTTAGTCCTTGTTTAGTCGTGGTTTAGTCCTGGTTCAGTCCTGGTGTAGTCCTGGTTTAGTCCTGGTTCAGTCCTGGTTTAGTTCTGATTTAGTCCTGGTGTAGCCCTGGTGTAGTCCTGGTTTAGTTCTGGTTCAGTTATGGTGTAGTCCTGGTGTAGTCCTGGTTTAGTCCTGGTTTAGTTCTGATTTAGTCCTGGTGTAGTCCTGGTGTAGTTCTGGTGTAGTCCTGGTTTAGTCCTGGTTCAGTCCTGGTTCAGTCCTGGTGTAGTCCTGGTGTAGTCCTGGTGTAGTCCTGGTTTAGTTCTGGTTCTGGTTTAGTTCTGGTGTAGTCCTGGTTTAGTCCTGGTTCAGTCCTGGTTCAGTCCTGGTGTCCTGGTGTAGTCCTGGTGTAGTCCTGATTTAGTCCTGGTTTAGTCCTGGTTCAAACCTGGTTCAGTCCTGGGCACGTGTTGATTTATGTTCTGTAGGTGATTATGAACAACGTTAATAACAATAAAATGATTCTGCAACATTTTGAGGAAAAATTGCCTGGTGCTTGATGTTTGTACTGAAAAGTGAGTTTTTTTTGTTTTTTGTTTTGTTTTGTTTTTTTGTTGTGTACCCACATGTAACAAATCCCCACCACATCACTGGGAAAGAACCCCACAGCAATGATCAGTCTGTGTCAGTTTTGTTTTGTATATTTGCTTTATACAGCGGCTCAGTGGTTAGAGCACATGTTCACTAAAGACTAAACCAGGAATAAAACCGAATTAAACCAAATCTACATTAGGACTTGTGTGAATGCAAACATAATCAGAATCAGAAAAACAAGTTTATTGCCAGAAAATTCACAAACCAAGAATGTGCAACACAAAATAATTAGTACAAATAATATAAAATCTAAAATATAAAACTAGATCCAAGAGGAGATTTGCCCAAAACAAGTCATTAGAAACCAAACTAACTGTTAATCTGTGACATTTCATATTCTCCCCATGTTTTTCCATTGAATTCTCTTAAGCCACTAACTTTCCATTATAAACTCTTCTCTCCAGTTTAGCAAATCCTTCATATCACCAGTGCTTTCATCTGCACTATCTCTCCTCTTCCTCCTCGGCTCCTCCTTGTCTTCCTCCCCGTCCTCCTCCTCCTTCTCTCCTATCAGCCCAATGTTTCCTCCGTTCACCACGATGTCAAATAATCAGGGCTCCACAGACAGAGCACTCAGAGGAGATAAGTGCAGTTTAAAGGGACAGAGCAGAAAAAACTAAACGGTGCGCTGTCTTCAAAGCGTACAAAGATTTAAAGGTGCACTGTGTAACTTTTCTGCTGGGGGTCGGCCACCCGCTTGTCTCCGTGAAGACTGCCAATCGATTTGCCTGGGATGGTCCACAGTATTGCAATAAACTTATCTGTCGTGGATTTATTCAAGTTTAGGTGTTGCCTCTCCACAGATCTAACCTGTTACTTGATCTCCATGGAGACAGATAAATTTAATAACATGTTGTGGGGCAAGAAATAACAGACAGATGACAAATGCTCCGTTAGAAAAGTGTGAAGAATCCGTGTATCATTCGTTTATTTGTTTTTCTCAAATTTAAACCAAAAATAAGAAAATGTTAAAAAAAAAAAAAAAGTAAAAAAAAAATTGTCTACGTTATTTGTCTCCAAAACCAAATGAAAAAACGGATAACAATTCGGACTGAACCAGGATGAAAACAGGACTAAAACAGGACTAAACCAGGTCTAAACCAGGACTGAACCAGGAACAAAACAGGATTAAAACAGGACTAAACCAGGTCTAAACCAGGACTGAACCAGGACTAAAACAGGATTAAAACAGGACTAAACCAGGTCTAAACCAGGTCTAAACCGGGACTAAATCAGACCTAAAACAGAACTAAAACAGTACTAAACCAGGACTAAATCATGTCTAAATCATGTCTAAACCAGGACTGAACCAGGTCTAAAACTGGACTAAACCAGGTCTAAACCAGGCTCTAAACCAGGTCTATACCAGGACTGAGCCAGGACTAAGTGCTGGGACAGAACTGGAGGTGCGCCCGCGTAGACTGTTGGGTGATCGGGACTGAGACCGGGACCAGACCGGAACCAGACCAGGACGGAGACCGGGACCGAGACAGAGACCAGACCGGGACTGAAACCAGGACCAGACCCGGACAGAGACTGGGACTGGGACAGGGACCATACCGGGACTGAGACCGGAACTGAGAACAGGACTGAAACCGGTTTAGTCCTGGTTTAGACCTGGTTCAGTTCTGGTTTAGACGTGTTTTAGTCCTGTTTTAGTCCTTGGTTCAGTCCTGGTTTAGTCCTGGTTTAGACCTGGTTTAGTCCTGTTTTTGTCCTGAGATCAGTCCTGGTTTAGACTCGGCCTAAATATGCAGGATTTGTGTGTTAAATTTGTGTGAATGAAACGAAACACAACTCCAGGTCAGTTTGTGATGAGCGTAATATCAATGTAAACACATCTCTTACTGTATTGTATTAAAAAGACTCTAAGTTGCTAATGTCAAGGCCAATAGCAACACTACAGTATGTTCATGTAACCAATCAAAATCTGCTGGAGTTTTCAATAGGACTCTTATTCACTTGTTTCTTTCTAAACCTTTTCTGAGAGGTTCACTTGGTTCAGCTCATTTCAGTGCAGCCTTCTGGGAAACGCTCACTGGAGATTGGATTTAACATTAAAAATAAAACACAACAGAGCTCTGGCCGTGACCATGTGTCCTTCAGGTTTCAGCTTTTACGGGGACTGGAAATAACTGGACACTTCTCCATGGATACAATCTTAAAAGGCCAATATAATGTTTTCTCATCAACAACAGACCTGAAGTTGTGTTTTGTTTTGTTTCATTCACACATGTTTAATACTAGAAATGTAACAATAACCGAAATATCGTGATATTGTATCGTCTAAAGTCTCACAATCATGTTGTGGGTCAGGTTGCTTTGCTTAAATTCATAGTTATGGTGATTTTAATGTGGATCTTTGTGATTGTAATGTGTTTCTTATTCTAAAGCACTTTGAATTACATCATGTATGAATTATGTTGTACAAATTAACTTGCCTTGTCTTGCCGTGGTGCAGCAATTGCTAAAAAAACAAAAACAAAAAAACAGTGGGAACTACATTTACCATGATCCTTTAGTGTTGTCAGTGCAGACTACATGAAGAAATAACTGTTATTAAGCACTTTTAAATCTTAATTCTAATTATAACAGTAATAAAGGCTTCTCAAGGCTTTTCCAAAGCTTTTAAAAGGAAAAAGTAGCTTGAAAATATCGCAATAAATATCGAACTGTGAGATGCATATCGTGAAAATGTTGTATTGAGGTGTTTTGATATTGTTACATTTCTAGTTAATATAAATGCATAACATAAACCCTCCATATTAAGTTAAACTCAAAACACTCAGTTCCACCTTGTGACGTCATGTGGTAATACATGAAGTGCACCACTGTGTTTTTAAACTTCATGCACCGTCACTAGAATCATTTGGATGATTTCAGACCTGGAATTGACCATTTCCGCTAAACTAAATGTAAAAGGTAGTTGTTAACTTGAAAACTAAAACTTCAACAGAGCATTTTGAGCTCTGGACATGTAGACAGACTCATAATAAAAGCAAAACACAACTCCGAGTATGTTTTTGAGAAGATAACACAATATAACATGTCTTAAAGCTCACAAGAGTCGATTTTGTGTAATGTAGGACCTTTAAAGGAACAGTGTGTAGCCTGTGCTCTTATGATTTTAACATTTACAAACAATCACAACTGAACTTGGGTTGCCAGAGCCTAATCCCGCAGACTGAGGACACGTACGACTTTTCTTATTCTCAGTATATGGACAGGCCTCATGTGAAAGCTCAGAACCTCCATGATTCACTTGTTAAGGTGCTTGGCCTAGATCTGCCTGCCTTGCACTCCCTCTGGTGTCCACTCATGCCTTCTATTCCTCAAATGCAAATCTGCGAGCGGTGAACCCAACTCCAGATTGGTGGACCCCTTTTCCTCGCCTCGCTTGGGTTGGCTTTGGTACCACGTCTGGTGATTAACGTATTGGACTACTGCACCACCAGTCCCCGTGGCTTCCACCTGCCAGTGCCGCCCTTCATAAAAGTGCCGAGTACCTGCCAGTCTGGGTGGCTGGATCACTGCGAACAGTCTGGGTTGTGTCTCTTTCATAGACTGTATAAAATAAGTCGACTAAGCGAATATGACGTCACCCATAGTGTTCAGCGCCGCTCAAATGAGGCTCATTTCTATGTTATGAATAGGATTTTTTTTGACAGACAAAATCGCAAAAAAACAAAACAAAACAGGATCATGTAGAGCGGGTTAATACAAACATTTTAAGACCAAAATGACGAGGCTCACTGCTGTAGCTACAGAGAGACGGCCGACAAGATCCAAATGTAAGTGAATTGGAGGAGACGGAAGAGCCTCCTGGAAAACCTCCTATTTGGTCTATGGTCTCTTTGGACTTGCCGTTTTGTAAGAGGTCACTAGTGGCCTATGCTTGCTGTGATTGGTATTTGTAAATTGATTTT